ATATGGTATAGTGAATGATGAGCTCTATGTGGATCCACTGCAGGTAATTAATTGTCCAGCCGAACCCTCCTCCCTGTCCCTGTTAATGTAAATTTTGTTTCTCTGCTGACAATAAGATGTGTATGAATACAATATTTTGGACATGCAATGCTAGGTTTTGGAGAGTTTGGTGACCATTTTTACTGAAGGCAGTGGGCGTGGCCTATGTAAGAGAATAATAGCAGTAATAAAAGCAGCAAACACGTTGGGCCTCTCATTTTCTGAGGCGTTCAACAAGCAACCAATTGAACTACTGCAGCTGCTTTCTCTTAAGGCGCAAGATTCCTTTGAAGAGGCCAATTTTCTTGTGCAGACTCATCCAATGCCAGCAGCAAGTATTGCTCAAATACTTGCTGAATCTTTTCTAAAGGTTTGGTTCATCATTTTATTTCAACTATCATCAATAATGTTTGTGTGGCATGGTGTGTTGTGGTAATTGGTGTGGTAAATGTATTAGACATCCCTCCTGGTCATAGATGAATTTTCATGGGCTTGTTTTGTTGCCGATCTATTGAATATAGATATTAACCAGGATATGTGAATTGGTGTCATTTTGATTCACACTTTTTTATTTGACATGTACTTTATTTAGATACAATTTGTGATGCTAATAGGGATTCAATTAAATATATTGCTACATTTAATTATTTATATTGCCAGGGTGTGTTGGCTGCACATCGTGGAGGATACATGGATTCACAAAAGGAGGAAGGGCCTGCTCCACTGCTGTGGAGATTTTCAGACTTCTTGAAGTGGGCGGAGCTTTGTCCCTCTGAACCAGAAATTGGACATGCTTTAATGCGTTTGGTGATTACTGGACAAGAAATACCACATGCGTGTGAGGTATCATGCTGATAGTTGTCAGCCTTGCAATTTCTTTCACTATTATGTTCAGAAAATGTTGAATTAAAATTGGATTCTGGTGGGAATTTTTAATGCATATTGATTTTAAGATGATAAATGTAGTCAATTGTGATTGTGATCCCCCTCGTTCTTGTTTTGCTCAATTAAAGAGTAAATATATTATGATGAAGAGAATATTACAAAGGGAAAGAAGAATGAGAAATACTCCTTAAAACTGGAAAAGAAAAAATAAACAAGGAACAAATGACATGAATGTAGTGAAGCTACTCAATCCCTCAACATCCGTGAGGGACACACCCCTTTAAAATGGTCGTTCTCTTTATGCCAAGTCGTAGCCAAGCAAATAATCTTCATCCCAAGGCCACTTATGTAAAGAGATATCCTTAAAACCACCTTGATGTAAAACTGGTCCAAAGACTTGGGGCAAGCCCAATATTCTTTGAAAAAAGCCAAACAAACAAAGAAGATAGACAAAAAAACCAAGGGAAGACCAAACTCAATGAGGAATCTGCTACCCAGTGGTTCTCACATAGCTTGACATGAGAACCATTACCTACTTTTAAGAAAAGATTGTTTGAAGCAGTAATCTGATAAAATATACACGTAGAAAGCATTTTAATGATTCCGGCTGAGTCTTTTTTTTTCTTTTTTTTTCTTGCAAGTGACACTGTTCTGCCCCATGATATTGGCATTTTCAGGTTGAGCTTCTCATTCTGTCACACCACTTCTACAAATCATCTTCTTGCCTTGACGGAGTTGATGTTCTTGTGGCCCTTGCTGCAACTAGGGTTGATGCTTATGTCTTGGAGGGTGATTTTCCGTGTTTAGCTCGCCTGATAACTGGAGTTGGAAATTTTTATGCTCTCAATTTCATTCTTGGCATTCTTATAGAAAACGGCCAATTGGATCTTCTTCTTCAGAAATATTCTGCTGCTGCAGACACAAACACTGGCACTGCTGAGGCTGTTAGAGGATTTCGAATGGCAGTTCTGACATCCTTGAAGCATTTCAATAGCAATGACCTCGATGCATTTGCGATGGTTTGTATTTTTTTATGTTGCTACAATATCAAATACTAGCAATTTTGTTTATGTACCATACAATAAATGAATATAGTAATGATTGTATGCCGCTAACATACAGTACCTTTTGTTTCAGAATTCAGAATAATCTAGTCGTGCTCAACTTTTTGAGCCATTCGTAGTCAATTTATTATTTTTAAATGTCTCGAGGATTATTGAAATAGTTTACTGTTATCCTGCCGTATGATATTTCAGTAGTATGGCATGTGCATATTCTGTGTTAATCTTGGTTGATTTTTCCTTAAAACCAATTAAGTTTAATTTCTTTCAAGCTGAAGCAAAGAAACTAGTTAAAATTTGTGATAATTCATTGATTATAATGTTGTGTTCTATACAGGTCTACAATCATTTTGATATGAAACATGAGACGGCAGCTCTTTTAGAGTCACGTGCAGAGCAATCATGTGAGCAGTGGTTTCGTCGCTACAACAAGGACCAGAACGAAGACTTGTTGGATTCCATGCGCTACTTCATTGAAGCTGCTGAAGTTCACTCTTCAATCGATGCAGGCAACAAAACACGTAAGGATTGTGCTCAGGCTTCCCTTCTGTCCCTTCAAATACGAATGCCAGATTTCCAATGGCTTTATCGATCAGAAACCAATGCTAGGCGAGCATTAGTTGAGCAGTCTCGATTTCAAGAAGCTCTGATTGTAGCTGAAGCTTATAACCTGAACCAGCCAAGTGAATGGGCTTTAGTACTCTGGAACCAGATGCTTAAACCTGAAGTAATGGAGGAGTTTGTGGCTGAGTTTGTGGCAGGTCTTCCTCTTCAGCCTTCAATGCTGATAGATTTAGCTAGATTCCCCAGCCAAGTGAATGGGCTTTAGTACTCTGGAACCAGATGCTTAAACCTGAAGTAATGGAGGAGTTTGTGGCTGAGTTTGTGGCAGTTCTACCTCTTCAGCCTTCAATGCTGATAGATTTAGCTAGATTCTATAGAGCTGAAGTTGCTGCCAGAGGGGACCAATCCCATTTCTCTGTCTGGCTCACTGGGGGAGGATTGCCAGCTGAATGGGCTAAATATTTAGGAAGATCATTCAGGTGCTTACTGAAGCGAACAAGGGATTTGAGGTTGCGGATGCAGTTGGCTACAGTGGCAACTGGATTTGGGGATGTCAATGATGCATGCTCAGAAGAAATGGATAAGGTCCCTGACAACGCAGCGCCACTAGTGCTGAGGAAGGGTCATGGTGGAGCTTACCTTCCTTTAATGTGAAACTTTCCACTGTTGGTCATCATAATGATCGACAGGAAGTTGGTTCTTGACCTTGAACCTTTGATGGATGGATTCAAAACAACTAGGGATTATTATTGTTTCAATCATTGAAGATGCAGAAACTGAAGTGATGACCAAATGAAGATTGGATGGTTAGAGTTGATAAAAGTGAGATGTATATTTTTTGGTCGAGTAAATGCTTGATGGTTGTATATTAGGCCAACTGTATCTATAGCTCATTCTTGTAAAACGCCATTCTAGTTTGGTTTTCTCCTTTTTATTTTTGCAGGGAGGAGAGAGTAGTTTAATAGAATGCCCCATTGGTTTCTTTATTTATTTTTTACTAGCTCCTAAATGTATAGTTCCTGTACATCAATATAAAAATCCATTTGTCATGTTTTTACACATTCTACAATTCTTTGGACTGAAATATTAATGCGCAGTTATAGGTACACATACACAAACTATAGATATATCAAATGCGGTCAACTTAATTTTTAGTTGTGTTTGAAACATCAATATACAATTATGTTAAATATTTAGTTTATTATTTATAATGATCTTATTTGATTCGATTAGAATTATTTCTCATAAAAAGAACAAAACTATATTTTCATAACATGGCAAGTTTTTGATAGATCACAATATTTTCAGTTTGCTTCTTCAAAGTTCACTTCAATAACTAGCGTGTTCTGGTGGGACAAATTATATTTTAGAACCTTTTTGACCAATTATATTCGGTCAATCATCTTAAAGGGAAGAGTACATGTTAGAACGAGTTAAACCCTTCATATTATTTTTTCCTTCTTCAACTTTTTAAAACTAAAAATTAACAAAAACTAATTTCAATTACTGTTGTATGTCTTTGTTTGATTACTATCAAGTAAATGTCATTTTCAGTTCTAAAACCTTAATAATTCTCCTCTTTCATTTTTTAATATTTTTTTTATCGTTTTTATTTAATTACTATTTTTTCAATTGTTAGGAGAGTCAACCCATATTTTTAAATTTCAATCCACTTCCTAAAATGTGACGAGGGTATTTAACTTGTTTTTTTTAGTAAATCAATGATAAATTGAGACAAATTGTCTCATGGGAGATACTCTCAATGAACAAAAAAAAGTTTTAACATGATAAATTCTATAGTAAACTAATTTTAAAATACGAATGAATGATTCAAATTTCATCTAATGAATAACACAAATCTTTCTCTAACCAATTGAAATAGAGTTAATTTTGGTTGAAACAGAACTGAGTTATATAACTCCCAATAACTAAGACTTTTTAATATTTTTTTCTAAAACATCTTTTCTTTAATGTATAATCCTTTAATTGTTCTACTTATTTTTTCGTATTTATAACAAAGACAATTTATAAAAAAAAATTATGAAATCAGTGAAATTTAATATAATTAATTAATTTCTTTAATATATGTAGAATCATTTTTTCCTCATAATAGAGAGTATTGTTTTTTCTTCACCATAGAAAAGTCCTGATAATTTGTAAAATTTAATTAAAATGCATTGATAAGTAAAATTTTATCACCCAATTATAAATTTTTATTTATGATAAAAATTGTTAATAATTGTTTTAAAAGTTATATTTTAAGGTCATTTTCAATTGATTAAAAATGCAACCGGCTTCACTTAAAAAGTGACGACAAAATAACATCCAACCTTACACGGCTCGGAGGCAGCAGAAGGAATTAATATGAAATAAAGCAAGGAATACAAACACTATATACTTTTTCGAAATAGCAGGCAGAATAAATCGGGCATTCTTGCCAACTATAATTCATTAAAGAATCAAGAAATCCTAATCTCAATTAATATTAATGTCATGCTTCTCAAAATTGAACACAATAATTTACGGCAGTTGGCCAACACTGAACAATGTTATAGCCCAAAGATAAGCACGAAGGGAAATAATCAGATACAATTTTGCTCTCAACGCTTAAAATTGAAAGAGTATACTGTATTTAAGAAAATATTGCACCCGGAAAAAGGTACTGAGTGGAGAATTGAAAAGAAAAAAATAGTAAGAAATACAATTGCAAAAAAGGCTAGGACTAGAACTAGAACAATTAATCTTTCCTTTTCTCTGAGTGTGTGTGCTGAGCTAGTGTAGGACGCCTCTCAGCAAGAAAACGTTTTGTACTCTCAAGGACACCAAAGAATATTGAACCACCTATGCCTATCCATAGTACTCTGGGACCAATACCCTGCAACAAATGTAAGATTATAATTTTTAAGCATCAAAATATATTTCTTGCCACGTGGCAGTACCCTTCATTTGGATCATGCTACTTCACTAGCTAGCTAAAAAACATACCTTCAAAAAGGCACGAGGTCCTTCTTCCTTAATAATGGTTTGAACACAGTCTGCGATTCCCTTATATTGGTTTGCAGATCCCTTGAGGAGGAAAATAGGAACTTATGAATGACTTGATAATTCACATTGAATATTATTATTGATTTGCTTGTAGATTAGCCATATACAGAAGGTATCATTTCTGCATTTGTGTATGGAGAAAGATGGCTACCTTGTAAAAACAAGATTAAAAAAAGAAAGTTCACAGCTTAGTTGAACCATTAACCTTGTCTTGATGACATCAAGGGGGTTAGTTATAGCTCCAGTTAGTGCACCTACAAGAAACAAAGCAGTTAGTCACATCTCAACAAAAGGCTTAGTTGGACTTGCAATAATGCTTAACAAATCAAACATAAAGAAAACTAAAATACAGCAATTTAACCTCCAAGAATCATTATTAACCATTTCCCCTCCCCTTCAAAAAATTAAAAATGGGAATGAAAAATAATACAAGCAACAAATGGTTTTGTGTTAGCATATGTTAGGTTACAGGTGCCCATGTCTGAAATTTTGGAGGTGCATGTTTTGTCTACTCAATCATGCAAATAGCCAAATACTTCAAATAAAATAAGTCGCTTATTACCAAATAAACAATATTAAGTTTATTTTTTTGTTTGCACCAAGGATATTTCTCAACTGATAATTAAAGACTAATTCCTCTTGAGACATAAAGATCTCGGAAATGGATTTTGCCTCTCCCAACAAAATCTTCTCTATACATACAGTCAAGAATCAAACTCTTAGCAACATGTTTAAAGAACTCAACTATCTACCAACTATGGAAGACTTTGTTGATATATTAATTATTAAGTTTTATTAAGCATTACCTATTCATTTCTCCACTGTGTAACAAACACAAGGTATGAAGATATAGAAATTGGAGATTGAAGATGATTAACATTCCTCTAACCCACTCAAGCACTCGTTCCATTATGTTTGTGCCCACTTTGTCCATTGGGAGACAGTTAACATGGTGATTCTGATTCACTATAGACTACTACTACAAAAGATGAGTTTGCAGAATCTATGGAAGCAATAAGTGATAAAAACACATATCAATGTCATATATGTATAAGGTATATTGTAACTATAGTAAATATCTTGGATATTATTAGGATAGATAAATATCTCATTTTATCTATGATATTTTTTCCTACTTCCCTTTTTTTTTATGTTAGTTCCCTATTTCCCTCAATCGGCTCGGTCATTTACCCCACAGGAGGGGATTAGTGCATGTATTACAACACACTGAATTGTAAAAGTTCCTTTCTTTCTAGTATAGCACAATTTATACTCATTATATAATTTTTTATTTATATCGTTCAGTGGGGCCATGCATGAATAATAAATGCAGTACTTTGCCATGAAAGCATCGTGTAGATCAGGAAACTAAAAGAAATAAGATCCAGGTTCTCTACATAAACCGCTTTTTTTTGTTCATTTTTTATTTTAACTGATCACCCAAGCACGGGAGGGAAGGAATGCAACTGTCACCTTGCAATGGCACAAATTTTAGACAGTAAATGCTACTGTGTAAAACAACCATACACCATACAAGATTAATTCACATTGTGAGGATAAGAAACTGGCTTTTATATCTTAGATGCAAAAAACGTCTGTGTTTAAAGCATAAGCTCATCATTGCTATCTAGAAATGAAACTTAATATGTATATCCACACATTACTCTATAATTCATGTATAAAAATATGCCTATAATCCCAACATTACCTGCAAAAGCGCCAATAATTGCATTTTCTGGATCATTCAGATTTCTTCGTGCCTAGCAAGAATGTAAGTCACATCACCAATCATGAAATGAAACAGAGTAGTAAACAACAGCTTTGGTTTCTTTGATCAACTCCAAACAACTATATGTCACATGAATGACATGATGATATTAATTCTTTTAATTTGAATTACAACATTGAATTCACGCTAAAAATTATGGAAGAATATAAGAGGAGGGTCAAAATTTTAATAGTGAAACAACTTGAGGAATTTACCGCAAGCATATAACCTATTCGAATCTGCTCGTAGATGCAAAACTGAATAGCATCAAAGGGCAAATCCCGCAACAAAAAAGATCCATACCCCTGTGATTTCAAAGATCAATATCAAAGAAACATTTTAACTTATCATTGCAGACATGAGAGGAACAAAATTTATCAAAAAAGCATTAAAAAGGGGAGATGGTGAACTTCATACAGCATAAAATCCTTTAAAGCCTTCCTTAGAAGCAATAAAGCGAACAGCCCCAGAAGCAGAAGTGAACTGCCCAGTTTGCATTCGTTGCTTGATAACCTAGGAACATGTAAAACTATGAAGTTCTCCAGTCCAGTGAAACAGTTTTCAACCATGGAAATGTCATTCTTAGAAATAAGAGAATTTATTTACCTCTGTTGGAACACGAATCAGTGAAGCAGCAATGCCCCCAATGGCACCTGCAGTCTAATGAAATTGAAAAAATACCATAAGATTTTTATCCCCATAAAAAATGATAAAATTTTACAAGAAGAAAAGTATATGCCAGCAAAAAAAAATGATAAAATAGACAAAGTATCACCTCCAATACAAGCCAAATAAATGCCAAAGACTTCACAGGACCATAATTGGTCTGAATTCAGACTTGAAAGCAATAACAGGTCTTTAATTCACTTAAATTTTCGTATACCAATTGGAATTTTTGGCGAAGAGATGATATTTTTTTCTCTTATTCATATGGAGTCATACAATGCTAGAATATAAAAAGGTACGAGTTTGGTTAAGAAATGTCAACCAATCTACAACAGTTCAGGATAAAATAGGAGAAAAATATGGGATAAAAAACTGAAATATTATTTTGTTCAGCATTGGATAATTTAGATCTTATCATAATTATAACGAATCTTAACTTTCCTAACAAACATTTAGACAATATCTTCATAACAATGTTTATATAAGCAGTATCTTACCAAATGAGTTAAAGCACTCAGGTTTTCAGGAAATATCCTTAGCAATTTCTGCTTTATAGGTTCATAAACTCCAACAAATAAAGCAGACGCCCTGTACATTTAAAAGCAACATAAAGGTGTTAAAGAAATAACCTAGATGTGATTCACAAATTCATTTTTTGATAAGCATGAAATGAAAACTTGTGAAAATCACTTAAAAGACAAATTAATCAAAATTGAAACTAATCAAATTTTCATTTAGACAAATAGGCATAATCTATGTAAATATGATGTAAAAATCTTCCAAATCAATTAAATCAACACTTTATCTCATTATATGACATATAAATGCAAATATTGCTTGTCTGCTTCACACCCTAATGCAAGAAGCCAAGACCATAATAGGGTTAAGAGCCTTGCATATTACCAAATGAGATACCAAGAATCCATGAGTGGAAAATAATCTACAATACATTGGGGGAACACATTAATAAAGTAGAGTTAAACAATGCTTAGGAGTACATATATTTCCAACATGGAGTTTTCAATCTGTTGTTTTCCCTGCATCAATATTACCTTGCACAATTTCCAAGTATCCAAATCCAGCTATTTCAACAAATAAATGGCAAATAGTGTTGGTCTGTGTGACATTTTCCAACCACAACCAAGATTCAAATAAATTAAATTTCATAATCTGCTCATGTTTGAACAATATATTAAAAGTATTATCAAATAACTATGCTAAATTCTTATGATTTACACGAACACACAAGCTCACGAGATATTTTGTATTTTGGTTCTTATCAGCGACAGGGTGATTCCAAACTTCTCTATCAAACAAACTTCAATAAACTGCTTAAGTCCCACTTTCACTGAATGTCATTAATCTTATCATCTTCACAAAACAAACCACCAGAAATTCTGCTATGAAAACAGCCCCAAATGTTTTGGCAATTTATGGATATATGCAAATAGCAGGATGTAACAAAAGAGACAAGTAAACAAGGCAAACAAAAAATATGGTGGTTTGTCCTTTGTCTGGGTCCATGGTCAAAGACAACAAATAATTACCAATATGCAAAATTCTGGAGAATACAAATTAGTGGCATAACTGCACTTTAAGAACACACCCCAACTACACGTGTTGCCTATTTAAGAGTGAAATAAAACCTTACTAAGCAAACTCAATATCCAGTCTTTGTAAGGATCGATCAATCTCTGATTCCAAAGGCAAGTACATACTGGATGATTTATATCATAAATAAACAAGTCATGCTTGATTCAAAAAATTGGGGAAATTGAGTGAAGTCACACTTTATTACACTATATTATCTGACTCCATGTCTCTACAAAGACTTCTTTTTAAGACATACTGCCAGCACCACCTACAAAAAGGGGCAATGCTGAATGCCAGCCAGAAGAACTACAATCCCTTAGCCACCTCTCTTCACAGGATGCAAACATCTCTCAAACAGTCAAACTAACCAAATAAATCCTCTTTCTTCATCCTATATGCACTACATAAGAATATGTCATTTTTCAAATATCTTTGCCACTGAATTGCGAAAATGAAAGAGAAAGAAACCACTAAAAATATGATTTTGCAGTCAAAATTTAGAAATTCACACAAGAAGTTTTCTTTTTCTTCAAGAAAGAACGTTCATACAAAATGGCTGCCTCTCGAGTTAGATCACTAAGCAGAAATTCAATGAATCATCATCAATGGAAATAAATTTATATGCCTTAAGCATGCCAACAACTTTCTGACTTCTTTCAAAGATGATTGGATTTTTCAAAAATTTCTAATTAACATAAAACCTAGAATGTTTGAAACATCATGCTATCCATGAGGTTCTCACGGTAAGACACCAGCAAGGTTCCCTGCCAATCCAGAGTAAAGGCCTTTCAATAATAGTTTTTCTCCTCCACGAGCAGCCTAGGAAAAAAAATATATATCATCAGCACATTTTATGTCAAGTCAACCTGCATACACAAATACATGCATGTATACATACATGCACACACAAAGGGGCATGGCAACATAATTGTGTGGTCAGTGATCATAAACTAAAAGTAAATGCCATGAATAGCACAACTAAAATTTCTTAACCCAAATTTAGCATATAGAAAAAATTATTCAAATTCAGAGAAGTCCACTAACCATATTCTGTAATTCAACTAAACAAGCATTCCATAAGTATTTAATGTTGACAATCAAATATTGTTAACTAATTACATGAAACAACTTTTATAGTTATTCCTATTTACTTAATGCTAAATTTCATCTTAGAACCGATTGCCAATAAATGAAGTTGTCCAATAAGTATATAAATCACACTCAATAACTGAGGAAAGAGATGTGAGACTTTCCAACACCTCCCTACATAGATGTTTGTTGGACTAGGCAATCACATAAACTATGGAAACACTGAAACAGTGCATATCCCTTCCACAAACCTTGGAAGTGACTGAAACAGTGCAGATGTTTGTGGGACTTTCCATACACCTCGCCCCTCCTACCGAACCCACCCCACACAGCACACACAAATGCAGTGAATATTCCCTCCAAGAACCACGAAAGAAACTAAAATGGGCTATAACCTCTGATATCAAATTAGAAACAGATTGGGCTTAACTCACTCCCTAAAGCTTGTTAAAAGGAGGATTATCAAAGTCTTGCAAAAAGTATTCAGATCATATTCCTTGTCAATGTGGGACATCTTAACACTCATCTTTCCAAAATAAAATATTGCAGTATTTTTGTCAAGAATCCTGCCTAGCTGGCACTGATGCAAAGCCTCATCACTTTGCATCAAGACTCCAGCATCAGATAGTAATCAGTATAATGCATAGTAAAGCACAACCACTAATCTTCATTAGGATTTGTTTTGTCAAAAAAAACATGCCTGCAGACGTGTTTTTATTGTGTCGATTGGGTATAAAGCTGTTTCAACAACAACTCCAGCAGTACCTCCAGCAATAACACCCTCTGCAAATTCCATCTGGCTAATCAGAAAGATTGAAATGCGATAAACTCGTCAAGAATATAGTACTGTCTACCAACTTATCAAGAAAGTAAAACAATATTTAAAAAGGGCAAAAAATTCCAGTTCTTCACTTCATATATGAAAAGTTGGGCAATAGCATCTTAGTGTTGGTCAGCCTTCTACTTAAAGAGGGCCTAATAGTTATTTACAAATATGATCTTTAGCCATGTCCTGAAAAAGCATTCATTAATAATGCTCCCTCTCATAAAGAGAAGAAAAAGAAGTATACCATCAATGCAGATAAAATAATTTCTAGACTTTGGTGTATAACTGATATGCTTTATGCAGATTTTTGACATGTACTCTGCATATCTACTCACCTAATTTCTTATGTAGGCAGTGAATATTTTATGTTTTGTGTCCAAATCACAGATGAACTACATAAACAAACCAAACTGAAAGTACAATACCTACTAAAATCATATTTGACTGTATGGAACGCCAACACAGATAAAATTTCTTAGCTAGGAACAACACCAAAGAAGATGTTATACTTACCGAATAAAGTGCGTAAGAAGTCAAATGGTTTTTTCTCCATGCTAACTGATGCAAAAGAGTTTCTCATAACTAAATTCTGTTTTCTCTTTGTACAAGCATCTGCAAAACCATATATCCTGCAAAAATGAGAAGCAGATAGCGCAAACCAGCAGCAAACAGAGTGCTAAAATAACACATGAACACAAGATTCTCACCCTTCACCATATAGATCTGTCTGCTAAATCATTTCACTAAACAACAAATATGCTAACTATTAACAAGAGTGGTTTATTCTATAAAAAAAAAAGTTAGGTTTATATGTAAAAAATATACCCCCTTTTCACTGACCACAGTAAAATCAGTAATTTTTTTATTCCTCCCCAAATATAATCCCAATTTCTAACTTGTATATTCTTAGAATTTAGGATTTTAGCCTAGTACCCCACTTATATACATTATTTTAGTTATATCACTAGTCAATGTGAAATCTCCAACATCATCACACTAAAGACTGGACATATCAAGCATGAAGTTTGCAAAATTAGACATATGTGAGTGATCCGATAACACTTGACCTGATAAGTCCAATAACAATTACTAAGATAGAATCGGATACCATTTTAGAATTTTGGGTTTGGGACTAACACAACCCCAAAAGCTAAGGTTGTCCCTTCATTTGTACACTATTTTAGTCATATCACTGGTAAACATGAGATCTCCAACATGTATGTTGAATTAAAAAGACCTCTGGTTTCTAATGGGACAACTTGAATCAATATATCATAAATCCTAGTAAGGGTAACAATTATGAGCAGCAATAATCAACTCAATCAAAATCACTGCAGTGCAACTTCCCCCGGTCTCCACATATACTATATATCCTATAATTGTGAAATCAATTAGCTCCCCCAGTATTTGCGCCAATAGGATAATAATCCTAACTAAAAGAAAAGTGAAAGAAGGAAAATCACCTCTTACACCAATCATAAGACACATGCCCCAACCCTAAATAGTAAGGAGCGATAAACCTCGCATTTATAAATTTTCATTTTCATACAAATACAATGCAAGTATCCCACGTCCTAAATTCACATACACATTTACACAAGACAACGTTGAAAAAACAAATGTGTTACCAACCTGGTAATGAAATGGCTGAGTCCTTAACCATAACGGACAGTGTAAAGGGACCCATCAAGGTCCAATGACTCAACCACTAACCAAATAACAAACTAACTGAATTAATTAGAATTTAACAAACAAAACAAAAACAAAAACAACCACTACAGAGGTTGTTTTAAGTATATTGTGAAGAGAGAGCGAGTGTTTACCGCAGAAGAGAAGAGTGATTGATATAGCTAATACAAGAGAAGTGAAGAAATGAGAGCAACGGATAAAAGTATGAGTCTGCAGAAACAACATGTTATCTTTGTTTTATAAATTTACGGAAAAAGTTTAACGTACCACCGGGTATGTATTTACCAACCGTAATTTAAAGACTAAATGAAAAATTCAACAAAAAAAAATCAAGAATTAAAATTAGTAAAAAAAAATTGGTTAAGATTTAAAGTAAAAATAGAGAAAAGTTTATAAAATAAAAAAAATAATGTTACTACTTTAATATCAATATAATTAAAATTAATATTTAATTATCAAAAGCTTATAGTAAATAACATTATAATAATATAGAAATAAAGTGTACATCTTGTAGTCGAAAAAAATAAAAATAAAAAGTGTATTACCTCATGATTTTTGGTTATTAATTTTAAGCTACTGTGTAAACTATGCTTATAAACTAAAAAAGATAACAACTTTTAGTTAAAAAACATAAATATCAAAACGGTCTTTGAGTGTAATATAGTAATATCTAATATTATTAATTAAAGTAAAATTATTAACTTTAAAAGTTAATTGAGTAAAAAAAAATTGATTATCAAAATTGTATATTAAGTAACATTAATATGAGTAATTTAAAGCGTCATTAAATATAATAAATTCATTAAATTTCATTAGATCCAACCGTTATCATAAAACTTAATTTTTCTATCATCGGTTCATATTTTTTCAACTATAGCTTACATACCTAGTTATGTACTTGATTTATGTATAAAAAAAAATAGATGATTTGAAAAAACATATATTATTGATCTGAATTTAAACATCAACTTTTTATATATTAAATAGATCTTTAACGTTTTAGAAGATTTTCTTTGATAGGAGATTTTTAGAAATGTTTTTAATTTTTTATTTAATTATAATTATTTATTAATTAAATTTTAATATTTTAAAATAAATTATTACAAATAAAAATAATATTATTCTATAATATAAATTATTTATCATAGATTTAAATATAATTTATATATTGTCTAAAAAATAATATAATTTATAAGTTTAAAAATACTTATTTATATAAATTTTAAATATAATTTCTATATTTAAATATAATATTTATTTATATATGAAATTTATTCTAAATTTCAGTTATGGATAATAAATATTTAACTTGTATATTGCAAATGGTAAAAATAAAATGCTAGTTATAAAAGTTGCCAAATCTAGCCACCTTTAACTTACCTTATTTTATAATTAATTTGAAATATTTAATCATAATTTTGATAATTTTATATTAATAATATATTTTTTAAGAGAATAATATAGATTTAAAACTAAAAAAATATAAATACTATAATAATAATGTTTTTCTAAAAGAATAATAAAACGAGTAATTAAAAAAAAAAAGATTCATAATATTTTAGTTAATTAATATTTAAGGATGTAGATTGAAAAATAATTTGCTAAGTACATACAACGATCTATTCATTTTAATTTAGTCTTAAAAATAAATATTTTATAGACAACGGTTGGATGTATGAATATTATAATAATAAAATTATTATTAAATATTTCTAAAAGTTTGAAAATATCTATTTTTTATAATATTTAATGCTATAATAATAATATTAATATATCTAACTTTTATCTATAAAATATTTATTTTTAATGTTATTATTGTGTTTTATTATAGTATTTTTGTATTCAAATATATTTAACATTATTTTGAATATATATATATATATATATATATATATATATATTACTAACTTAAAATTATTAAAAATACATAATTAAGAGTACTAATGACAACAATTAAATATTTTATTATTACAATTAAAATATTTAACATTAGTACTCTTAATTATGTATTTTTAATAATTTTAAGTTAGTAATATATATATATATATATATAAGGATTATAATAACATCGGTGTAACTTTTACTAAGTATTGCACCTTTCAATAACTTTTATATTAAATTGAATTTTGTAAATCCAATCTTGAAGGTAATCAAAGTGTTCATATTTTAGTTTATTTGAAATGAATATATTATGTCAATTTTATTTTATAAAAATGAAGTATCAAATCATCTTTAATTAATATAAGATTTTGTATATATGCTATAAGAGTAAAAAACTTTAAATCTAATGGTTGAATTTACAAAATTCACATTTAATATAAAGTTACTAAGCGGTATAATACTTAACACACATACATATATATATATATATATATATATATATATATATCAATAAGTAGATATTTCTTGAAGTTTAGTTTACATAGGAATTTTTTAAAAATAGCAAATTTGATCTCTATATTTTTGTGTTAATTTGTAATTATAGTCTCTTTATTTCAAAGTAAAGACATAAAGTTTTTTAATTTTAAAAATATAAAATTTTCTTTATATATTCAATTTGGCATTTGGTGGGGTGTGGACATTGAAGGGGTAGGTCAAATGAAATAGAGTTGGGAATATAAACGAGTATGAATAATCTATGAATTCAAATCAACCAAAACTAATTCAATTTTTTAAAGGTTCAGGTCATATCCAATTCATTCGGATTAAAATTTAATACTATATGGTTGGATAATAAGTGTGTATTTTTTATTTTTTACCAATGGGTCAACCAAATATGTTAATAATAATAATAACAACAATAATAATAATAATCTACAAGCTAATACTAGTTAGTGATGTTTAACACTCATTCTTTTTGCAAATTTATTTTTTCAACCATGTTTATAAACTACTATATTGCTTGCAGTGCTTAAGCAAATTTGTAATTGTCCAACAAAGTCAATTATGTTTTAATTTGACATTACAGTGATCTTTGACATTGTGATAATACATCATATTTGTTTTAAATTTTATTTTGTATTAATGTTTTTTTCATTTATAATATAATAATTGAACCTCTCTTGTTGTTTCTTTTTTTAAGCAAATTTGCAATTGTTCAACAAAGTTAATTATGTTTTAATTTTACATTATAGTGGTCTTTAACATTGTGACAATACATCATATTTGTTTTAAATTTTATTTTGTATTAATGTTGACTGATTGGACCGTTAATAGTGTACTAAATAAAAAATTTATAATTTAATTTGTATTATTGTTTATTTTATAAATTGATAATATTGAATTTGCAACAATATGTTAAATGATTCAATTTTATTATGAAATATTTAAATTTTTACTAAGAAAATAATTATGTTAATATGATTGACTCAACTGAATTTAACTTATTTATAATTGTATTGGTTTGAGTTGTATTTCACAATCAAAATGTATAAATTTGGTCCAATTTTAGTTATTAAAATATGATTTGGTTGACTAATGGATTCATCTAAATCTAACCTATTTACACTTCTAAATAGAATATTTGTAGTGAAAAGATGTTAATGTTAGAAGAAGAATGTTTGAAATAGTTTGCAGAAAGTATGAACCCTCAGTTAAAAAAAATATAAGGATATTTATGAAGATTTTTTTTTATTTAAATAATGCTATATTATTAAGCATGTATATATCAAGAGTATAATTTATAGTATAATTCAAATTTTGTTTATATTTAGTTAAGTTTTCATTTACTAGAAAAATAAGGTTTGGAAAGTCTATAATGGAAAAATTCATTTTGAAAAGCAAATCTTGTTAAAATTACATATTATATTTGTATAAGTGAGTCTTTTATGTGGCCTAATTATCATTCTTCATGTTTAACGGTTAGTAATGGGAGTTATCTCACATTATGACGGATTTTTTGGTGAGGAAAGTGATTACACATAACATCTTCGGTGTATATATGTTTATATTCTTCGTCTGTTATATATTTATGTTTTTCCCATAACCCATGAGTAGTTAAAATCACCGTAGCCATGTTTATCTTATTCTACATACCTTTTTTTTTCTTCTAAATTGACTATTTAGGTTTTATTTAAATTATTTGGTCTTTGTTTTTTACTATTAATATTTATTGTGGATTGATCATCTATAATGCAAATTCTTGATATCGAATGTTGTTTGAAATCGTGAACAAAAAGAAAAACCTAATAAACTTTATATTTAGAGATAGTATAAGATTTGTTAGCCATTTTATTTTTGCCTTTTATCGTAACGTAAGTCTTTTGGTTAACATTATAAGGGATCGAGAGACAAATTAAATGATTTAGATTTTCACACATAAGAAATTAGGGTTTAAGTAATTTTATGAGTTATTGAAATAATTTAAATTAAAACCTAGTAATCAATTTTTAGGTGTGTGTAATGATAACATAGTGAAATCAAATTCCAACGTTTTAATCAAACTAGTTCAAACTAATTTTTTTATACTTTTTTATTTAGTTGAAAATTCTTACAAATCCAAAATTATTTATTTATTCTTTAAATTGAGGTCTTTACTTTAATTTTTACAATGACCAATCCTAACATGAATAATATATATTACATATGTGACATATTTTTTATTTGTTTCACGTGTTAACGGTCAATGATGTGATATATTATATATGTGTCACACTATAAAATATATTGTCTATTTATAAGGAACATATCCCTTATAGTCAAATACGTACATTTTATAGTATATCATGTCTATCTATAAGAGATATGACACTTTTTTGTTTTTACAAAACACACATTTAATTGGAACTATATTTTTGGTTCATCTCATTAAGTCAAGCCATTAAAATTATATTCTTTGATGTTACACATGTTTCAAACAATCCACTGAATCACAAATCCCATACCAATAAATTGATTTAATCTCTATATATACTTTTTTTTCTTTTTTTAGTTTATATAATTTTAGAACTTTACCTTTTTTAGTCTTATAGCAATAGATGTAATGGATTAAAAAGAAATAAAAACGGTACATATAAGAACTAAAATACAACGTTTATAGCTATAATGATTAAAAAATAAGTTTTATTATATTATATAAACCAAGAAGATATTTAAACCATTTAATTTTTTTTTGGTATTTTTGTTAATGCCAAATTTCTTATTTGCTTTATATTATTAACTTGTTGAAACAAAATTACCTTTCGATATTTAAAGATTTTCTATACATAACCATATTATTGATGATTGGAATGAAATAATGGCATATCTACAAACATTACTTCAAGCATTCACTATTTTTTCTCTCTTATGATGGCTTATATAGATTTAAATTTACAACAACTAAACTATTTGGATTTATCATCGCTAATCCCTTGCCCACTAACCAATAAGTTTTTACACAAATGTTGTGAAAATCAAGGTGAACCCTAATAAAATGCCTCCCACCTTCTGCATTGCTCTAAGAATGTTTCCACTGCTAACTATTGCTATAGGGAACACGCAATTTTGTTCTGATGGGTCCTCTGATACAATAGTGGCCAACCCTTTGAAATCACACGCCTCAACACTTTGATCATTTATTTGAAAGTATTGATTGAAAGCATATGAAGCGTTACCAGCTTTATCTAATTTATCACAAGAACGAGCAACACCTAAGCTTGTGCAATCACCACCTGCACAAGCATAACTTACTGAATCTTCCACCTTATCCTTGTCAGCATTATGTTTAAGGACACACCATTTGCGCTCTTGGTAGATAACCCCTTTTGCTCCTATAGGCATTTTATCTTGTCCTTGGCCAGAAAAATCAATATGAAACTTAGGCTTTCCATCATAGCGAAAAATTCCCCAGTGACGCTCAAAATCACCTGGTGCAATACTCTTTGTGTTCTCATCCAAAAGAGAAAACAGATAAGTGTTTATAAGTCCCGGGTGAAGAGGAGACCCTTTCTTGGTTTTCATTTTCTTAAGGAACCCTTGATAGAACCTTACTGCATTTTTTGCATTGGCGTTTTTGTCACCATCAGTTGGCCATCCAATTTCACCTATAACGATGGACACATTTGGGTGACCCATCTTTTTTAGTGACCAAACAAGGGTATCTAAATTTGCATCAAACATGTTGGTATAATGCTCATTTTTGTCATCAGTAGTTTTACCATGACCATCAAAGAAAGCATAGTCCTCTGGAAAATCTTCATTTTGATATAAACTAAGAAATGGATATATGTTGACAAGAAATGGTGACTTCTTTTCATCAAGAAACTGCACTATTTGTTTCATAACATCATAAATGTCCTTGCGAAAATTCCCATCTGAGGGCTTGTTTGAACTAGACTCATAAACATCAGCATTCAAAGCTGTAGTCACCTTGATTTTGTCTCCAAAACCAGCCTTATCAATCGCCCTTTGAACATTTTTCATCGCTGGAAATGTGGTCTTTGTAAATGAACCATTGTAACTTTTCAAGAATGGCTCGTTTCCAACAGATACATATCTGCAACACAATAGTGAATATGAATAAGGTAGACAATAAAAAAATGATCTCTTAACAGCTTCATGATTATGTTGTTCATAATAATTAAAATATAAAAAAAATTAGAGTCTTATGTGAAGGAACTATATAACAAGAAACGTTATTTGTACGACAAATTTTAGAGACAGAAAAGAGTGAGGAGCGAAAGTATACGATGTAATAAATATATGTTGTTTTGGAGAGAAAATGTTGTATTTATATAAACTATGGTATGAATAACATGTGTTTCTATATGTTATATACCTGATTTTGACCCCTCCATCACGCATATGTTTGGTAATATTGTTTTTAAGCCAATCTTCTGCATTATCTTTATCTTTAGATAATTTCTTCAATTGATCATTGGGAATTCCAACCATAACTTCAATGTCTGTGCCAGAAAAAGCACTTAGAACCCAAGAATCTGCATCAAAAAGCTTTACCTTTTTAATTCCATTGTCCTTCAGCAAATTCACCACAATGGGAGGATCTAAAGGTTGGGATGATATCGAACCCCAATTGACTCCAATACCGGGTACCACAGTCGGTTCTCCTTGGCCACATTGTAGCTGGCAATGAGCCAAAACCAAAATCATATAAAACAACCACATAAAGGACAAGTGATATATCTAAGTCAAAGTAACAAACAAAACTAAAAGGTTAATTATCAAGTGAAAGCATTTGTTAAGATTAAATGATTGGCAACATTTGAGAAAAAAAGTTGAATGTTCCCAATCCTATGTATTTAATTAGCTATAATGTCTAAATAAAGTATTAAGAGTATTGGTTCTTAAGTTACCTACACGTAACTAACTTTCTATTTGTAAATGTAGCGTGCAATACTAATTTACTATTAATTTTTATATTTGAGATTGAAATTTATTCCCCTCGTAAAACTGCAAATAAAAGAATAGAACAAATAAATTCAGGCGAGTTCTCTGTTTTCTAAACAAATACAAAAATCAACATGCCTTGTATATTTTACCACAAAATCTGCTACCAAGTTGTATGCTCTGTAACATAAGGACTAGTGAATTTTTTTTATAAAAGAATTAATAATTGTCCATTTCATCCCTGAGAATATATATATATATATATATATATATATACACGAATTTTGATTTTTTTATTATTTAAAGTATAATTAAAAATAATTTACTAAAAATACAAATAGAAAATAATTTCCTAGTATGCAATATTTTTATCATGTGTATTATGTACGTGACTTAGATGATATAAGAAATTTGATCATTTGAGATAGTTTAAATGGAATTTATTTATTTGAGAGTCCATTTGATACTTTTTACTAATAAATCTTTCTCATCATTGTGACATGGCATTAAAGAGGTCATAATTTCTCATAGGTACTAAAATTTTATATACAAATATCTTTATATTGATATAATATTATTTATTTTAAATTTAAATTTTTATAATTTTATTTTTAATCATGTATTAAAATTTTTATTTAATAGAGATGGTGTATTTTATAAATCCTTATTTTCCTTTATAATTTAAAGATTTTAGTCTTTATATTTCAATATCGTGCACAAACATTTGATCATAACGTGTGTTTTGAAGGTTTATCACTTGATGAGGGATGATTACTTTTGAGTAGGCTCAAGTCTATGCGAGCAATAGTAACTCCCACAAGGAAATATAGCAACCAACACCTTTAGCACCATCATGTTGTTGTTCAAACCCGTTGTTGCGAAGATCTAAAGATGGGGCAACATAAGTGATGATTCAGTAAACACTTATTTATTTATTTATTTATATATATAGCAAATATTTTATTAAATTTTAAAACAACACATTTTATATGAATTTTATAATAGCTAAATGCTTATTTTATATCTTAATTTTAGCTTAAATATATAATTAATTATTAAAATCCTTAATAAAAATATATTTGAACAAAAAAAAAATATAATGGATAATCATATCTTTTTTCTGACAGTATATAATTATTATATATTATTAGAGGAATTAAAATATTTCGTATTTTTAATAATTACACATAAATATTAAAAGTTATAAATAACTATTTAAAAATAATATAATATTTTTTTAATTAAAAAAATATAATGATCCACTATAAAATAAAAAAAAAAAGTTATTATAAATATTAATCTTTAAAAATTCTTAGAGGCATGATGAATATTTGTATTGGTGGCTTAACCCCTGCGTAAAACCCTAGTATAAGAAGCAGAAGCAGTTACTCTGAACGTTGTTTTCTTCAAATTCAATTTGCGCAGTTGCTGCCGTCGACGCCCACGCACTCGTCATTTTAGTCCAGGTCTCATTCCCCCTAATTCCACTACACTGCATCACTTTCTATTCACACACGATTCGATTATATAATAAGGATTTATCGGATTATTGTTATTCTAATTCTGTGGTTGTTATGCTTGGTGCGTGATGGTGGCCAGTGAAAACTTCGATTTTGTAGCGGAGCAATGAGGAAGAAAGTGGACGACCGAATCAGAACTCTAATTGAAAATGGTGTCAAAACGAGGCACAGGTCCATGTTCGTCATCATTGGTGACAAGTCTCGTGACCAGGTATTTTTTTGTAGTGATAGGCTCTTCAGAATTTCGGCCATTTTGGGAACTCTATTTAATGTCAAACAAGTAAAGAGTAGTGCAATTTGAGTGCTAAGTGCAGTGTCTACTTTGTGCAGATTGTGAATCTTCATTATTTGCTTACCAAGGCGCAGATTAAGTCCAGGCCAACTGTGTTATGGTGTTACAAGGATAAGCTCGAACTAAGCAGGTTCTGTATGCAGTTGATGAAACTGTCTTGTATGAATAAGCTTTCATAAGCTGCTGTCTTGGGTTGTTTGAGTTATTCTGGATGAGGTTTAAGAATGATTATAAATGCACTAATGCAGTCACAAGAAAAAGCGTGCCAATCAGATTAAAAGATTGATGCAGAGGGGTCTTTACGATGTGGAGAAAGGTGATCCATTTGAATTGTTTGCGGCAACCAATGGAATAGAATATTGTTATTATAGGGATTCGGAAAGAATTCTTGGTAATACCTTTGGCATGTGTGTACTTCAGGTATTGCACACTTCTAGCTCAATGTCTTGTGCAGTTGTGCTTTCTAGGCTGTCTCTCTCTTTCCTTTTCTTCAAGATAAATCAATTTTGTCATCATATTTCCATTTAGGATTTTGAGGCATTGACACCTAATCTCCTTGCAAGAACGATAGAGACAGTGGAGGGAGGAGGGTTGGTTGTTTTGCTGCTTCACTCTCTATCCTCGCTCACCAGTCTGTACACCATGGTTATGGTATGAACATAGATTCATCAGAATTGATATTCTAGTTTTTTTCGCCCAATTCATTTGGTTAATCTTAATCATAAGTGTTCTTTTCTGCTATGGTTGTGCTGCCCTCTTTTGTTGATATTTGAGCTCTTGACCTGGAATTTAATTTTGGGATATTCATTTTGTTTTTTCTTATCTGTGGTACATTTATCGGAGTTCGTAGACTTTCATGACATTTTAGAATCCTTCTCATAAAATCTCGTTTTATTAAAAGAGGGGTATTTGGAACCTTTCTCATTTGGCATGAGAATATTTTATAACTGCAACAGACCAAAATACATCATCCAAACAAAGGGGGAAAAATGCTATATAAGTTGTAAATGTTAAAATGATTACAGAGATATCCAGGATTCACTTTGGCATTTGTAAGACGTGGGAGTGTTCAAATTTGGGGCACTTCTTGTAGGAGGTAAGAATCATTGTTTTACATTGTTTTTGGATGTTCTGGTCACTTCAAAAGATTGCTCAGACAGCGGTTATTTCTCTGTAAGGATAGATGTTGGAGGTGTCATTGTTTCTTTTTGATCATCAAACTGCTTTGCCTAGTATGTCACTTGGGGTCGTAAAAAAGATTGAAAAATTTATGTGGGAACTATATGATCTGGGCTTGGGGATTGCAAGACAGATCATCTGGCTAGGTGGGAGGTTTGTTGTAGGACTAAATGACTTAGGAGTATAGGACTGGAGCTTGATGCTGTTAATTTGGTGTCTAAGAAACAATTATCTTTTCAGTGGTAATTGTGGTTTTCTTTAGTTGGAAAAAAATAATTAGAAGTTTTTATCAGAATTGTTTGGATACTGATTTTTTTAAATTATTCAAACTTTAAATACATACTCAGGAGTTTAAGTAAACTGGTTGGTGGGGGGTGGGTTGCGAACTCAGACTCACAAACTCCTAAGTGTTTAGTTATTTTTAATTTTTAATTGTTACTGCTATTTCTTTACAATGGATTTGATATCTCTCTTGGCTCGAGTTAATGCCCTTTATTATTTTTGAGTTGTTTCCTTTATTTATTGTTTTATCTATTATTCTTATTCTTATTGGAGGATTTATTGTCCTTGTTAAAGTCATTTCTTTCTTTTTTCTTAATAAATTCGTTTTATAAAAAATGATAAATTTAAACATAAAATGATATCAAAGTTAGCCTACCTAAAGTTAAAAAATAAAATAAAGACAAAAGAATGGAAAGAACTATTATTAGATAATAGAATGAAAGAAGCACAAGAAAAGAGGATTTCTTGTAAAAGAAACTGAAAAGACAAAATCTAGAACAAGAAAGGCACATCAACTAAGTAAAACTGGCTTCTATATATGTCTTCTCTAAATAGCCAGTAGCTGAGTTGGTGAGCTCCATAATGAGGCTAAATAGACTTCTGTATTCCGCAAAAAAAATTATTTACGAAACTTCTAGCATTTCTGTTTATGCTCAAGAGCCACCTTGTCTCCCTTGTTACCACTCCCCACCTTGGTAGTTATTTTCACCATTTTTAATTATAAAATCACATACGGAAACAGATTCGTGTTGCATGTAAGAGACACCCAAAAGTTCTTTCTTTTGGTTCTTCCTATGACAAACAACTTTTCTGCAAACAAAACTTCAACTGACTTGGATCCATTTCTCAACCAGAACAATTTCTCATTTTTGTTAAATCCCAACAATAAAACTGTTTTAAAATGCATATATCATGAAGGATAGATAGCCCTCTATGTATGATCAGGGCTTTAGTAAAATAAATGTTTTGTATGTGAGAAGTATATATTGCCCCTAAAAGTAACTAATTTTGCTGGGGCTCTAACAGAAGATTGCATTGTTCTAATTCTCCAAGAACTTTACATGGAAACCTGAAAATCAGAAATTTGTGTTTCTATGGTTAAGTTGCTAAGGCCATTGTTTACCATGCTACTTTTCTGTTAAAAGTCTCATTAAATTCAACTTTCATGTGGATCACTGATTGCAGGATGTGCATGATAGATTTCGAACTGAATCCCACTCTGAGGCTGCTAGGCGTTTTAACGAACGGTTCATATTATCGCTCGCTTCTTGCAAGGCATGCGTTGTCATGAATGATGAACTGGATATATTACCAATTTCATCTCACATAAAGTCTATTACCCCAGTTCCTGTTAAAGAGGTATGCTCATTACATTCTCAACAAAATATTATTTTTTTCCTTTTTTTTTTTCGATTGGGTTTGCAGATAATTTTGGGTTTTAATGCATGAAAGACCTATTTTTAAAATGAGCACAAGTGCAAAACTAATTATGCTTTTTCTTTTAAATATTCTCCCTGGTTTCAATTCTGAGTTTAAATATGTAATGTGTCTTGATTGATTCCGAAGATTATGGTGCAAACAGGTCCTTTTCTCTCCCTCAAAAATCTGGAGTGTGTTCCTATAGTTTTGCTTTCAGTATATGATATAGATGCTTCACAATCTTGGTGATAGTTTGGAAGCATTTTTTGACTGTGAATGTTAAGATATTTGTACTTGTAAAGATGGTGAGCAGAGATAATACAGAGAGGAAGATATGGAACATGGAAGAGAATAGAGAAAGTAATTCTGTAATGGGATGATCTGTATAGCACAACCTTCCAATGTATATGTACTACTAGTACTAGGTTAAGGATACAATATAAACTACAAACTATAAAGTACATCCAGGCTTGCCCCACATTCTCAAATCTGTAATGGGCTTTTGTTGTCTTGATATTTGAATAACTGCTAGTCTCATACTCTCACTCTATTCTAACTACATCTAATAGTAGTGCATGGGCTTGCAATTGTTCTAATTATATTACCAAAACCATTTAAACTACACTGTAGGATATTTTTCCTTCATTCTTTCTTGGAAGTCAAGCAAGATGCTTGTTTCTTAAATTATAGTGGGGTTCTTTCACTTGTATGTAATGGTTTGTCTCTGAATTGATGCTGTAGGAGTCTGATGAACTCTCAGAAGCAGAACAAGACCTGAAGAACCTTAAAGAACAACTATATGAAGATTTCCCTGTTGGGCCATTGATTAGGAAGTGTTGCACGTTGGACCAGGTAGGGTTGTTTACCTCAACTTTGCATTTTCTACTTTGTTCAACCAAATTGGTTTTTGGATGGTGGATGTGAGCAAGGTTTATATGTTTTTTGTTAATAGGGAAAAGCTGTTGTGACATTTTTGGATGCAATTTTAGACAAGACACTCCGAAGTACTGCTGCTTTATTGGCTGCTCGTGGCCGCGGGAAATCAGCTGCTCTTGGTTTATCAATTGCTGGAGCTGTAGCTGTGGGGTACTTTGCCTCCTGGACTTAGATATATTTATATTGATAGTTACAACTCTTTTTTTGGTATCTTACTAGAAAATTATCTCTGTAGGTATTCAAATATCTTTGTGACTGCACCCAGCCCTGAGAATTTGAAAACATTGTTTTATTTTGTAATTGAAGGTTTAAAAGCTCTTGACTACAAGGTACTAGTTCTCTCCCTTGTTGACAGCTATAGCCATTATTGGTTAATTAATATGAATTTAGTTGCAAAATTTCTAAAGATAGCATCTGGGCAGTTTAACTTTGATAATTAAGTAATCACTGGCATTTTATATTTTATTTCTCTAGGTTCAGTACCCATCTAAATCAAAATTTAGTGCGTCTTTGGATTAATTTATCTGCTCAAAAGTGAAGTTAAAAAAGAGTGATCCAGTACATGAGGCTTAAAAGTGAAGTTAGAACACTAAAGTTGCCTTACCAGACATACCAGCTTTTTCACAAACAGCTTTTATCCTTAAAAAAGCTTTTTTATTTTTTAAATTTTTATTTATCATAATTAAATATTTTCCCAAAACACACTTCTAAGAGTGCTACTGTTTTCAATGCCAATAGGCACATGGGGATTTTGATGAGGTGAAAAGTGTGAATAAAACTACTGTAAGGATTAATATTTACAAGCACCACAGACAGACAATTCAGGTAAGTTCGTTGAACCTTCTGCATTATTACTGTTAAGGGAATTTACTGTTGCTGTGTTGTTACTAGTAAATGTAATTCTGGACTTATTTTCATCTTAATTTCCATCAGTATATACTACCTCACGAACATGAAAAGCTTTCACAAGTTGAACTATTGGTTGTTGATGAAGCAGCTGCTATTCCACTGCCAGTGGTGAAGTCTTTGCTGGGCCCATATCTGGTCTTCCTGTCTTCTACTGTTAATGGGTATGACTAAATTTGTTTTAGCCTTTAGGTGAAATTTTCTGTATATCATGCCAAATGATTTTTTGTTTTTGTTTTTTTGTAAACAGTTTTCAATCTTTTTGAACCAAGTTTCCTTCCTCTACTTAGACAATTTTATGCCTTCTCAGTTAATATGGTTAAATTTATGATGGGACTTAATTACTAACCTTTTTTTTTGTAACTCATTGAAAGTTATGAAGGTACTGGACGCTCTTTATCACTAAAACTTTTGCAGCAATTGGAAGAGCAAAGCCACGTGTCTGCTAAGAGCACAAAGGACCCTGGTTCAGGTACTAATTTATGCTTCTGGCTTTTAGAAGTCATTTTAAATAAATATTATGCATGTCATGTGCTTTTCTGGATTGAAACACAATCTAGTGGATTATGAAATTAAGATTGTTGGTTTTCAATGATCCATTAAATGACTGTAATAGAATCTTTTTCAAGGTACGTGTGCATTATTGCTAAATCATGAGTTATATGTTTCAGGTCATCTGTTTAAGAAAATAGAATTGAGTGAATCCATCAGATATGCTTCTGGGGATCCCATTGAATGCTGGCTAAACAGTCTACTTTGCTTAGATGTTTCAAATGCCATCCCTAATCTTAGCAGGTTATATCAAGCTTATTTCATATTTCATTGGAAAATGAGGCCATTTTTGTCTATCTCTACTTACTGTTTTTTTCCTGAAATCAGGTTACCTCCACCCAGTGAATGTGATTTGTACTATGTTAATAGGGACACCCTCTTCTCCTATCACAGAGATAGTGAATTATTTTTGCAGGTAGAATTAGATTTATCTGATTATGCAGGGTGGCTTGTGATTGATATTTTCATGTGTTCAAATGCTGTACTAAAATATTGTATTATTGCAGCGAATGATGGCCTTATATGTTGCATCTCATTACAAGAATTCTCCAAATGATTTGCAACTGATGGCAGATGCTCCAGCACACCACTTGTTTGTACTACTTGGTATACTTGCTTTTCTTTCTAGTTGTTCTTTTGTTCCTCTTTATAGATTAAAATGACTTGAATTAGTCTTACAAATAGTATTTGTATGACAGGACCTGTTGATGAATCAAAGAATCAACTTCCTGATATTTTGTGTGTCATCCAGGTTTGCATCTTTGGTATAGATAACCCTTTTTTCTGCTTTATTTTTATATATGGCCTGTCTCATTGGCTTCTATGATTGGGCTTGCCTTCTCTGCTTTGACAGAACATGTTGTGTTCAATTTTTCCATCACTTATTCTTTTTTTCCCATTGCTTGATATAGATGGGGGAAATTGTTGATTTGTTTCTTGTGATGTGACCAATTATGATGCAACAAGCATATTGTAGGAAACAGTTATTTTGATACTGATATTATCTACAGACTGGGATGCTATCTTGTATTGGTTTAGAGGGCTTGAAGCTTGGGCTTCTCTTTGTTTAAATATTTTTGCTCGTTAGCACATATCAGTTTTTTAATCAGATATGTGATGCTGCTGTATATGCTTATGAGTTCTGATTTTTCTTTTATGTCTGTTTTATCATGTTGCTCCAAATTCGTAATTGGAGCTCTAATTAAATATGTCAATTTTATGGTGGTTGCATGACTTCCCCCAATGTTTATACTACAGATGGTTATGTTTATTATCCTCTCTTATCTTTTTCTTATGACCCCACATTCAATAGCATCCATTTACAGGTTTGCCTCGAGGGACGGATTTCTCGTAAGTCGGCAATCCAAAGTTTAAGTGATGGCCATCAACCTTTTGGAGATCAAATACCGTGGAAATTTTGTGAGCAATTCCGAGATACAGTATTTCCCTCACTTTCAGGTGTTCGTATTGTACGCATAGCAACACACCCAAGTGCCACGAGGGTAACTTTTATATTTTGCTCTGGCATATGGCTTAACCAGATTCCTCCAAAAGGTGTAACATCTTTCTTATCTTTTACCATCTTTCTTTAATTTCAGCTTGGATATGGTTCACAAGCTGTTGAACTTTTAACACGGTGAGTACATGGTTTCTTCCTTGTTTCAATTAGAGTAATGTTCATTTTATCTTTTTCATTTTTACACAAGGTTCCATGAGCATTGATTGTTCTTCAAAAGTTTTTTTATTTAATATTTGATTTTGTTTGGGAGGAGCCTTGGTTCAACAATGTGATAGAAAAAGATCTCTTGTTGAAAATAAGATACAGCACCATTTAGGGAAATATATTATAGTTTAAGGGAAACAAAATATTCTCTCATCATGCACATTTAATGTATTTTTCTTATATAAATAAACCTCTGAGGCATAAAGTATTGGTATATATATAGGTGGTATGTTTCAGTATGTTATTTAAATAAAAATTATAATTATAATTTTATATAAACTATAATAATTATTTCCTAATTAATTTAATATAAAATATAATGTATACATTTTGGTAACTTGTGTTAATTTTGTTATGAAATATTATAACTTATTATACATAAACTATAAAAAATTATGATTTTAACATGATAACATTATAATAAACTAAAATAAACTGTAATTTGATTCCCATTATAGTCTTTTATACATGCCAAAATGTTAAATGCAGAAAACATCAATTAATCATTTTCGTCACTGTCTGCAGCTACTATGAAGGACAACTTACTCCTATTTCAGAGATTGATGTTGAAGATGAAGTGCAAGCTCCACAAGTTAGAATTACGGAAGCTGCAGAGAAAGTATGTTACCACTAAAAGTCCCTTTTTAGATTGGTTAAGTTAGTTGTGCTCATTATAGTCTCTGAATGTTATGCATATCATGATGGTAATTATATTATCTAGGATTCCTTTTACAGTTTATCTGATTGGAACTGGTAAGACCAAAATTCAACCAGTAAGATCAGCATTTTCATAATTTTGAGAAAATGTCATTGGTGTTAAGTATATTAAGCACCAAAATAGGACTTAACCCTAGAAGAGGCTTTGGAATTCCGAATAGTTTTATCAAGATGAATGATACTATAATTCAACAAATGTGTTAGGAATTGGAACATTTGCATGAATTTTCTTAAGAAGGTTGAAGTGACCAAAACCTTTTACCTGTACTGGAATACATTATCAAGGAGACCCCCGACAGTTTCAGTTGAGAGGATTCCCCATTATCTGAACTTTGGAAAAATGGAAATCCCCTAAAGATTGGATTTTTGAATTTTAATTTTAATTTATGGATAAACTTCTGATGCTATTATGGTTTCTCACTTGGAATATATCTTGCAAATTGCAATTGTATAATCTATTTGTTTTCCTTTTCCAAAGAAATATGTAATATTTTTTTATTGCTTCTTTTACTGACTTTATTTTTATTTCAAAGTGAAAGACAAACATTTCTTTTATACTGGTTCTTTCTTTCTCATGTTAGCACTTTCCAAGTAATTGGTTTCTTTTAGCTTTTAGATATTAACGACTGAGTTCAAACATGCAGTGCAGAGTTCAGTTTGAGCAACAAATGACAGGCTATATTTGATTTGTTATTTTCTGTTCCTTTTAATTCTGTTAATTGATGTTTATCTTTTCCATAATACTTCTATGGAATATGGATTCAGGTTTCACTACTTGAAGAAAATATAAAACCAAGAACAGATCTTCCTCCTTTGCTAGTACATCTGCGTGAAAGACGGCCAGAGAAGCTCCATTACATTGGTGTCTCCTTTGGGCTAACCTTGGATCTTTTTCGCTTTTGGAGGAAACATAAATTTGCTCCTTTCTACATTGGCCAGATTCCAGTTAAGTGATTATTTGTTCTTAAGCAGTAGATAAGAGTGAATTTGTTTTTACAAGTAACATGTTTGTTCAACTTGATAGAATGCTGTGACTGGTGAGCATACATGCATGATCCTGAAGTCCTTAAACAATGATGAAATTGAAGATGATGGATCAAATCAGTTGGGCTTTTTTGGTCCATTTTACCAAGGTGGGTTCATCCTCCTTTGCTGTTATATATTTGTTTGATATTTATGATTCTTTTCGTTAATGATTGATGATTTAGTTCGCCACTTGTAGATTTTAGGCAAAGATTTGCTAAGCTTCTTGCTTCCACTTTCCGTGGCATAGAATACAAGCTTGCTTTGAGGTTAGTGTTAAGAATTTACAAATTCATGGTTCTAAATTCTTTATATATTGATGTGGATATTTTGGAGTTCATTGATTTCTAGAGGACTAGGGTTATGTGATATTGATAGTTAGATCATATTGATGTATAATATTTTCCACATTATTTTATCATTTTGATAAAAGAAGTACTAGTAGATGAGATGCAGTGCAAAGCCAAGGAGTATTTATGCTCTTCGAAGAAAACCAGAGATCAAAACAGAAGACTTGAAAGAAATGGAACTTAATATTTTAGTGTGTTGAGAATACAAGCTCTTACCCCCTTTTCTATATGCTAAATGGCTAATGCTGTTAACGGAAATTGAAAAAATAACAATGAGCATAGAACATGGGTTATGGGGGACGAAGGATGGATGTGATGATTTGGACGCTAAGGTATTTTGTCACATGTGCCGTTACCAGATTGCCACCGCAACCTCCCTCTTACTGACATTGACCACCCACTCCCTGCGATCTCTGTCAAATGCAAAGCATCCTTTTCATTTCCTAACAGGGGCTGTTAGCTAGCTACTCAAGGAGTTTGGAATTCAGGTCATGGTTTTCGGGAGTTAGGGTTTCAGGCAAATTGGGCTGTTTGGCCCAAACATTTTTATGTGTTTTCTTCTCTCTTTTTTTCTGGTTTGTTGGGCATTATTCTGAATATATAATCTAATAAAATAAACAAGAATAGTAATAAAATATAATAAACTATTTAAATCATAACATGATGTATAAACTAAATACCAATAGTAACAAAAAAACTTAAGAAGACATAACATTTTATATACTATATAATAAATTAAATAATCACAGTAGTAACAAATTTAGAATAGTGGTCTTCCCACTATCTGCTAGCTCACTATAGTAGTTTTAGGGTCAGCTGCTCCACACCGCTATCCATGATTGATAGTTGTTAGTTTCAATTTCATAAACAACAGCAAGTTTTTTGAAATAAGCAACAGGTCACACGCCCTTTACAAGATACTATAATTACCCATGCATCCTCATTTTAGGGAGGGAAGTTTCTGTTTATCTGAGAATTAAATGAGTTAAATCCGTGTTTTTATCCTTACATAAACTTCTAAAGCTGTTGCATAATGTTATTAATTAATTATCATTCAGAATTTTGGATAAGTGAATATTTTAAAAACTCTAGGCCTTTTGAGTTTCTTGAACTGTAGGATGTATAACCCTCGATTATATCTCCATTTTTCTAAATGCTTATTTTAATGATAATTTATCCAGCATAATAGATCCAAAGATCAATTTCAAGGATCAAGACCCTACGGAGACCACATCTGATAAATATCTGCAGTCAGTCAGAGAATATTTATCACCTCATGATATGAAGCGATTAGAGGCTTATGTTGACAACCTTGCCGACTTTCATCTGGTAAGAGTTCAAGGGATGGATGTGATAATGATTAGTTTTTCTGGATGGTTTCTTGATGATGACATATCTAATGCTTTTTTGGTAATTGAAAATTTTCATTCTCTTCTCCTAATGACTTTCACTTCCTTGGTAAAATCCTAAAAGGTGATTCCCTGTTCAATTTTCAAAGAAGTTCATCTTGCACCCACCCCACCCAAAGAGTACCCTAATTTTTTCTTTGGCAAACATAAAGGTTTGATAGCAACTTAAATTGATAAATGAAAATTAATGCATTTTTACCTAGTGTAATTGTCGTTTAATTTAACATGGTTGTTGACCGAATTGAGTATTAATATTTGACTGGATAAACTGCAGTGGCCAGACTAATTAAATAAACATTTTTGTGAGTTTGCATGACTTGTGTGATCATTGTTGGTCAATATGTAAGAATTTTGATGGCCAAATTCAATGGCATATAAAAGTGTGGTGAACTGATGTAACCTCATACATCTTGCACTGTCACTGCTTAAGTTGTAATGTAACTATGCCAAGCTTAGTTCATTGAAATAACATAATTCTGCATATATGTTTAAAGAAATTTAGGGTGCTTTCAAGTTTGTTCTTGACCATTTTTCTTTTGACAGATTTTAGATTTGGTTCCAACACTTACACATCTGTACTTCCAAGAAAAGCTCCCAGTTACATTGTCGTATGCTCAAGCCTCTGTGTTACTATGCATCGGTCTGCAGAATCAGAGCATTTCGTACATTGAGGTCTGTTTATTGACTTGTTAATTCTTTTAGTTGAAATATTAAACTCGGATGACTAAGTAGCTCCTGATGCTTTTACATCTCTAACCAATAAAGGTTAACCCAATGCTGAATCCTATTTAGTTAATGTATATGCGTTGTTAGTGCAAAATATCTTACAGAGAATTTTTAACCTAATGGGAATTAACTATGCTGCTTTCCACATTTGAATAGGAGATGTGGTGATGGGATGAATTTTTATTGAATGTCTGTAAAAAAAAAAAATTCCACTGATTGTGCATGTAAATTAAATTTGAATCCTTTTACCATATATAGAACAACAATGGTCTTATCCCAGGTCGGTTATATGGATTAAAATGTTTTAGAATTTTTCTTAAGTATTCTCGGCATTCTTTTGAAATTTGGTATCATACATTATTGGTCAGTTTATCATGATACACACTATCAAATGAACGAGTCAGTCTAAAATTCTTTCCTAGATTCTGTTTGAGGTTTGAGTTGTTTTCCTGTTTGATGTCTTCCTCCATTGGTGTCTTTTCAGAAAGGCGGAATCACATTCTCTTATATGCCTTTTTGTTTGACAGGGACAAATGAAGTTGGAAAGACAAACAATATTGTCTCTATTTATAAAGGTTATGAAGAAGTTGTACAAGTATTTAAATGGTCTTGCATCCAAGGAGATTGAATCAACCTTGCCAAGACTGAAAGAAGTAAGTTTCTTGATGACAATTTACCTTGTGTATTCATGGATGGTGCCTTCACTATAGAAAATTTTGGTTAGTGAAATGTCACTCACGTGCTGTGGTGTGTTTATGAACGCAAATTCTAATTTGTGGCTCCTTTATTATCATTCACTAATCTTGTGCCTCTTTTTTTGTTTTTGTTTTTTTTTCTTTTTTCGGTTATGTTCTATTTTGTCCCTAGATTGTCATGGAACCTCATAGTGTCTCTGTGGACGAAGATCTCAACGATGCAGCTAAACAAGTTGAGGTATGCATCTTCATCTTTTGTTTTCTTTTGTCGAAGATTCCTACCCAAATCCCATCATTCCACCACCAGTTTCCATAGCTCATATCTTAAATGATTGTCACTGGATAGGATGACATGAAATCAAAAGCAGAAGCACTCTTTACTCCTGAATTGCTCCAGCAATATGCTTTTGAAGACGGAGATTCTGGCTTTGAGAACGTTCTTCAAAATAATGGTGGAAAACTACCATCCGGTGGTCTTATTAGCGTGAAATCCAGCAGGAGTGTAGTCAAGCCTGGAAAAGAGAAGGGAAGTCATAAGAGTGACAAAAGGCGGAGTAGAGATAACCATAACCAGAAATCAGGCAAAAGGAAAAAGATCTCAAATTGACCATGAGAAGAACCATCGAAGATAATACTGTGGTGATTTTGTGGACTGTTGGTCCTGGAGTCAGAAAGAGCAAAGTAAACTTCCAAACTGAAGGGGGACGGGTATCCACCGACAAGAAGCCCAGTTCATCATATCCTGGAACCCTCCTGTGTCTGGCTTTCAAGTGTAGGATTTTGTATTATTTATTCGGTTTTTCTCCCTTTTTTATGTTTTGACGGAAATTAGTGGGCAACGTTACTGCATTACTATAAATGTTTACAGATAAATATATCCATGATATTTTACCATCTTTTTTTGGCGGTTTCAGAGAATGACCTCAATTTCCGGCTTTCCTCCTTTTGTGGACAATGTTTGGATTATAGATAAAAAATTAAGTTGAGTTAAATTTAATTTTTAAACTATTTTTTTTTTAAACAATCTGAGATTTTGGTTAAATTTGCTTATAATTTACACTCTAAAAAAATGGGGGAAAAAATATAGTTAACTAAGATTTACACGATTCAAAAGTGTAACTAAAATAGTTTGTATCAGTGCTAAATGTGCGTTTTGCCATGAGAAATTGAGAACATATCTTACTGTAGATTGATCTGACGAAGGTTTATTATTATTTAGTTTTGTGATCAAGGATGCGATGCTATTGAAAATTGAAGGGGGTTCACTTGACATTGCAGATTATGGCGTTTTAAAACGTACGACAATGAGTTAGCATGATTGAATTGACCACTAACCTGATTGAACCTATCCAAAGTCAAAAAGATTTGAGAGGGAAGAAACTAATTATGCTGGTCTTCTATGTTTTCTTTGGATGAAGTGAGGTTAGAAAAAGAAAAAAAAAGTGGCACAGAAAGAAGTAGGAGAGAATGAATAGATGTTTAGAGTGGTTGGTCTGAAAGAAGTAAAAAGAGATGTAGAAAGCAAAAATAATTTTTCATTTGTTTGGTTGGTTAAAAAAAAAAGTTATTTTAACTAATGAATATTTGTTATTTAGTTTGTCTTTCATTTTGTTTGAGTGGGTTGTACACATTTTTTCTTAGTTTTTTCTTCTCATTTTCTCTCCTTAATATTTAATGAACCAAGCGTTTGGTTTATTCTAGGATTAAAAAACGAAAACTCATAACACCTGACTCCACATTTTTTTAGTTTTTAATATTTTTCTAGAGAAAATTTATTAAAATACATATATTCTAATTCAATGATCGAATCCCAACATATATAAACTTTTTTTTTTTAAATTTAGACATTGACAAGCAACAGAACCAATCAACATGCTTTAGTGTACCAAAAAAAAAAAAAAAACTCAACCTGCTTTGAATATTGAATCTGGAGGTTTGCTGAACGTAACTGGTTTGATAATATCAACAATTCTAATTAGTTACATGCACAAATAATCAGACAAACATCTACTCTGGATCTTCAATTTGGACTATGGTATGTAAAATTGAACCCTCTGGAATTCCCAAGGGAGCATCTTTGCATGAACAATTGTCAACAGAATATAGTTCCCACTCTTTAATTTCACATTTGTCTAGTGCAGCATCTACCTTTGTCCTCTCTCTGTCACTTGGAAAAGCCCCATCTGGACTAACAAGTACTGCCCCAGTATAGGACTGCCCTGCAGCTCTAGCAGCCCCGTGATAATGGAACAAACCCCAACTAAGATTATCAGCAACATCCACTATGGTCCAAAACTCATTTGAAACAACTCCATTATCTAGTACACTGAAATAGAATGTTCCAGCTACCTTACCTCTTTTGACCCTATATTTTCTCCTCCTCCACACCATTTGGCCTTCCAATGTTTTTACTTGAAATACTGGCTCATACCAAAATGACCCTTTTGCCTTTCCCCTATAGAATAGCTGGTACTGGCATGGAAACTGATCATATGCTGGATTCTGACCTGCTACAACACGCCAGCTCCACTGCAAACTCCCCAACCAACCAACAAACAAATCTTCAGCCATTTCATGACTCATGTTCTGCCCCCTAAACTTGATCATTGGAGGCACACATGGCTTGTCAGGGATTTCAGCTTCCAACTCAAGACAGTTGTTTTTCTGTAACACACATAATGAAAAGGCTTCTAGATTTCCACTTTCATACGAAGCAATACATCTGTAGTTGCACACTTGATCAACAGGACTACATTGATTCAAGCACTGAAGAGCTTTTCTACAATTGGGATCCAACAAGCAATTAAGTACCTGACGACCGCAGTTCCTCAACATACAATTCAAGGTAGAAAAACCTTTGGCTCTCAAGTTCTTCAATACTGGAACTGGCCTTATATAAGCATTGATTAGTACCAGCAAACAGAATCTTATATCGTCAGAATTATGTCGATCCCATGCTTCGGAAACAGTTTGCAGTACTTCATATGATTCTTTAGCTTCATCAGACTGAGAATTTCCAAAAAAGTTTCCAAATATACTTCGTCTCACTTCACCGGGAACATCATAACCTCCTAATTTGTTCTTCGAATCTGGTGAAGAGTCAAGGAATATTACATTTTGAACAGTTTTGCTGTTGATATTGATCCACTCAACAGATTCCTTGTTTGTAACAGCAACAATTACCAATATATCAGCATTCAGTAATTCTCTCTGGAGTCTCATGGACATTTGTCCATTAGATATAATACATTCATCAGTAAATACAAGAAGTTCGTACCCTTCATCAACCCATTTCAATCTCTTTGCCTGGTAAAAGGGAATATTAATGGCACTAGATCCAATCAAAAAGATTAATCATATTATTCATACAAGAAATATTGTGACAAATACTACAGCTGAAGTAAGACATATCACACCAAGATATAAAGGATTTCTGTCACAGATCTGAAAACATTCTAACTAGAGGCCAAAGTTGCATGTTATTCAGCTAAATTTGAAAGGGACAAGCTGTGTTAATAATATCACAAGCATAAAAGTACAATTTATTTATATATATTGTACCAAAACCCATGATTAAATGAAGCAAAATATCCAATTTAGTTTAGGTTTATCTCACTTAAATAACAATATCTGTATTCTATTTTGTTAAGCCAGTGGCATTGACAAAAAATTGACAACAATGACAGTAAATTCCTCTGAAACTTAGGAAATCATCAAGTGTGTTCTATATACTTCAACAGCTTTCTCTTGTTCAATTCTTCAAGATTGTCCATTGTAAGCATCCAAGTTCTCTCTCAGGCCAAATTGCCAACCAGTCATACACAAACTGTTTTACACTGTTGTAATTTAATGCATTAAAATGGTAAATATAAAAACATAAATAAAACAAAAATCGCAGAGAAAGTGTAAATTAACATTTGTTACAGGCATAATAAATAATTCAGTCATTAAACTGATTGAATTTTAAAAAAAGTGACAGAAATAAAGATAAGTAAAGTGAGAGGGTACGTAACAGTGTGAAGCATGACTTGCTCCCAAGATGCGGACTTGAGAGGGCTGGAAGCTCCGTGGCCAACGACGGCCACCATTCTCACGGGCGGCGGGGGCGGCTGCTCAGCCGTGACGGCGGAGAAGACGGTTGTCGGAGGGCGGAAGGGAGAGGGAGAGGGAAAAGAAAGAGAGAGAGAGTGGGTATGGTGAAAAGGAAAAGAGAAAGAGGTGACAGATAAAGCGTTGTGAAGAGAACCGATTGTTAGAAGATTTAGTTGGAAAGTCTTAGAAGACATGTAAACGATGGAATTCATTCTCTTACAAGAACAGAGTGAGACTGAGATTGAGTCCACAACACAACATAAGACAACATAACATTAACATTAACATTAATATTAACCAACCATTGATAACAAGTGTTACCTATCACAAAAGTCCTTTCTTCCTCATTCCAGAAACCTTCAGACACTTTTATTCATTCAGGTAAGGTTGGGTTATAAATTCAATCACATACCTCACTAATTTTCAATTTACACCACTTCAAAATAAATATAGATTAATCCGGACCATTACAATGCTATTATTACAGTATTTCTTTTATAAAAGGCATAATAGAAAATTTTCTGTTTTTTTACAAGTATTTTTCTGAGAGATATCCAAAACCCAAAGCCAATACCACTAAGTTGATAAAAATAAATAAATAACACTAAGAAAGTTTTTCCTCCGAGTGTAAATTAATATTTGGATTCATAAAAATTCATAATGTGTTTTATCTGTAAGAACCAAAATATAAAGCTTTTCATGTAAATTAAGATGAACTATAAATTTTGATTCATATATAGACTAAAACAAAACTTATTGTATAGTATAATCACTAAACATAACATATTTGCAATATCAGCAAGCAATGAAGTTAAAAAACTATTCTAAGAACATTTTTTTTCGTGTAAAAAATAAAATACACTTTAATTTTAGAATTAAAATGAGAAATTAGGCTTTTTTTTTTAAATTAATGAAAGATAAAATAAAGGAAAACGAGATTACAGACTTGACAAGAAATCAATTCCTAAGGCCATAAACACGAAACTAGGAGGACTCCTCCATTTTACCATATCAACTAAGTTCTGAAGAGATTGTGTTTTTTTTTTTTTTTCATTTATTTTTTATTCATGTTATTTTACTTTTAAAAAAAATTAATAGACATGATTATTTTCTTATAATTAATCAGTTTTGATCGTTATGACTTGGATTTTTTTTCTGACGAGAAATAATTTATGGTATTTTGTAGATAATTTTGTTGCCTCTCCATATAATTTTCTATAGTTCAATTTTCCTAAGGAGAAAAAACAAAATGTTATTTGCAAATGAACTCTCTTATACATAATAAAATATATTTGAATATCCATTAAAAGAGGGAAAAAAACAAAATTTTGATTATTTTACCCTAAAAAAACAATACACAAACAAATCCCATATTAAAATTTTGCATAAGAAAACTATAATTAAATTGTCTTAAACACTATTTCAAACATGACATCTAATACAAATCCCCACAAAGTCAATGTACAAAACCTCCCACGATACTAATTGCTTGACAATTCTCATCAACATCGTATCAGAATGTTTAAAACAAAATTGAATAATGCACGCATAATCTCCCCATTGAAACAATAGAAATTTATAAAAACATTAATAATTTCGCGTCATTTCTCAGGCGACATCTTTTGAAACATTACAAGATGCAATTTTATATATAAAGAAACAACTTCAATACATATAACAATTAGAATAAAAAATAAATAAAAACTTCAACTTGCTTTCAATAAGGAGTTATCGTTCTTCTACTATCATTCCACGGCCAAAGAATAACTAATTCAACTACTTGGCATATAGCACTCAGTCTACGAATCCAAAAGGTGAATCTGTAAACTTGTATGTTCATATCCATAAAAGATTAAGCTAGAAAATCTGACAATTGATAGCGTACTTCTTTTATTTAGGGTATATGGATTGTGGAACACTTCATTTTAAATACTGGAAAATTGTAACCTGTGTCATGGAATTTCAATTAATCGATGGATGGGATCCGAATTGGGAACAGACATTAATATCAATATGAATAAATACTTGGGAAACATGACAGAAGAAAAATTGAGAAAATTTGATCGCCTCAACTTCCAGTTTAACATGGAATTTGAAATACAAAGACCTTGAAAAGGCTCAAGAATCTTCAAACTGGTATCAATGTTACACTTCATAATCATTGGTGTCTACTTATTGAAGAAACACAGCTTCATCATTATCCAAATGCAATAATTTGTAACTTATGCAAACATCTTGAAGACGTTCTAAAGGAAGTTTCTAATGTCCAAAGTTTTGACATCGACTGATTCAGGCTCATCCTTGAATTCCTCCCTGAAACGGCAAACAGACAAGGCAAAATAAATCCTACTATAGTTTAAAATTTCTATCCTTCTGCACATAGACTCACAGAGACACAAGTAAAAAGTATTTCCAACTGTTGAGGAGAAAACAGTATTCCAATTTCTTCGCATCAATTGGTCACCATGTTATATTCATATGTTCAAGGTTCAAAAGCCATAAACCTTTGGAGTTAAAAATAAGCAGAAAACGAAAGGTAATTATGATGTGCTTGTCAATGGCGTTGTGTCAAAAAGCACTAAAGAGAATTGAGAAGGGGGGAAATACTTCAACAAGAAATGACGTCATTATAAATACCTCTTCTTTTGAGTTTCCATTGCCTCGAGAACATCCTTCTTCAGTTCCTCTAGTTGTGCTTTGGCCAATTTATGTTCTAGCTCCTCTTCATACTTTGATAGATCTTCCTTTCGAATTCCAAGTCTAAGGTGGCACCACCAAAGGTGGAAGGGAGACAAAAGAAAAAGAAAGAGAAAGAAAGAAACTACAACTCAGTAATTTATTGTGCTCATCCAAAAAAGATTTAAACAGTTCAGAATCCTCGTGAGCAAATTAGGAATTTAAAAAACCAAATGGAATACACAAGCAATAAAAGGAGGCCGAGTGATAACAGATGAAGAATAAACTATACAATTCCCCAACAAGAAAAGAATGTGATGCAAGGTTAAATAAATTTTAAAAGAAACAAAAACAAATAAAACAACGGAAATTAGATGAGTTAATTGGAATCATCTACTCAAAATTTCCTCCCCTATATTTTATAGCAAAAAACCTCTACACCATCTAATGAAATGAGCACTTTCCTATATAATGAGGGTGTAAATACCACTCAACCATAGAAAAATATTTATAAAATCACTAAAAGTTTATAATGAATTCCATCCTCATAATCCATGAAATGCAAGTGAAATAAAAAATGACAAATAAAAGCTTGAATCTGGATCAGAAAGAGACCCGGGAATCTGAACTTACTTCTTATTAATCTTATCAAACTCTGCCAAGAGAAGGTCCATTCCTTTCTTATCATTTCTCAGTAAAGGTTTTTTTAACTCCTTTTCAACTTTGTCCAATGCATCTATCATCATAGTCTCTGCACCAAGATCATCTGTAAGACCTCTCCTGTAAAAACATAAACACAAATATGAGATCATGCTCAGGACATCCAGAACCAAGGGATGTTTGTGTTGTATGCAGCATTTTATCTACATGTATATATAAAACACAAGTATAAACAAGGTTCAAAAGATAAAATAACAAATCAAATAATTCTCGATAATAGTTTAGCGTAGTCACAATTTTCATAAAAGAACAGTGATCTGACAAAAATTTTAGAACAGGAGGTTTAAAACAAAAAGCATTATCATTAACATTAATACAAAAAGGCACATGGTATTGAAAGAATTATTTTACATAGATCAAAATGATAAAACCAGGTATTAATGAAAAAGTAAAAGGACACACTGCACACAATACATATCAATAATTACATCTAGTTACAAAATGGAGAGTAGATTAGATATCACCACACACTTGGTTCTTATTTCCTTCAAAGTCAAAAGATAGGTTCGGGCATCTGGAATATCCTGTGTCTCCATTTCAATGGTGGATAGGATATCTTGGGACTCAGACAAGAAGTTAGCCCTGCAGAATGCACAAGACATTGTAGGCATAACATGATTAAAACATATAAAAAGAACACGTGAAAGATTACAACATATAAAACAACAAATATTGAACGGAAATAGTCTGATATAAACAATAAGGTAAAACAGAATCTCACTTCTCTCTAACTGTTTTCATGACATTTGCATAATGAGAAACAGCAGCGGGATCTTCTGGATCGATGGTGATCTTCTCCTTCTTTAATATTCCTATGGCAGTCTCAAATTTGCTCTTCACCTCCACAAAAATGTTCTTGAGCATCTCTTTTCCCATCCAATCAACGAATACATCGTCAGAAGATGCAACGTAAAAAATAACAAAATTTATATTAAAGATAAAAATGCACATTTTTAAAACTAAGGAGAACTCACGATCTCCCTTAAGGGCAGGAGCAGACTCTTTAGCAAAGTGACGAACTGGAATAGCATACTCCTTCTGCAGAAGTATTTGACTGCCATAGATCTGTAACAAATGGGGGAAAAAAAGCGCACATGGCAAAACAATCAGTAGGTAAATCAAAAACATAGTTGCTTTTGAATTAATAAACAATTCATGCTCATCCACCATCAGGAACACACGAGTTTCATATTATTCATTTCCACACACTATCACGCAAGTCTATATAATTGTGTGGCCATTGACTACTCCTAGGGCGCACGCAGGTGATAAACGTAATTTCCCCAAAACAATGGAATCGGCGAAGAAAGAAAAACCTAATTGGCGAAAACGATAACCCTGGAAATCTAGCGAATATTATCTGCTTTTCGAATAATTTTGATTTTAAAACATGAAAATGGATAATGAGATATGGGTGGATGTATTGAAAGCAATGCAGATCCCGAGATTACAACAAGGAAATCAAAAGAAATGCAATGGATGCAACAATTCGTAGCTATTGTACAGAGAAGGAAATGAGAGATACCAATTTGGATTTGGAGAATAGACGAGAAGAGAGTGCCATGAGTGAGTTGGTGTTGTTGCGTTGGTTAGGGCTTCTTCGTTTCGCTTTGATACCTCTCTCTCTCTCTCTCTCTCTCTCTAAATTCTAATGAGATGAGTTTCACACGAATCGCAAGGGGGTGAGTAATCTGGTAGGGTACACCCTACGTCTCATCAATGGGCTTCATCTTATACCACAGCCGTTCGATATGTATTCTTTTCCGAAATCTCCTCTGCTTCTTCTCTCAATTTTTTTTTTCTTTCTTCTTTTACTTTGATTTTCAAAATAAATAAATAAATAACAATCACGCAATGGGTTTTTAATTTTTTTATCAAACTTTTATATATATATATATATATATAATCTAAAACATATTAAGGTAGAAAGAGTAAAATATTTTTTAAATTGAAAACATACTAAAATTAATACTTATACTTATTTCCTAACATAATACTAAAATGATTCATATTTAAAAATCCTCGCATAATGCTAGTAAAAATAATAATTTTTTAAAACAAATTAGACTACAAAATTTGTGAGTTAACTCATGTACTTACCTTTAATTATACATGCTCGTGAGCTAGTATATTACACTTGGACTTCAGTAATCAATTTCATACTCTTTCTTTTTCTTATTTATGATTATTTATTTCTCTTCATTTCTAAACCTAGCTCATCGATTACCCACCTTAAACTTTATATATGTTGATTGTTCATTATATTAAGTTTTGCTGCAATATAATGACATAATTTTTTGTATGTTGATTGTAACGATAACAATTGTTGTGTGAGTGTGACATGGATTTATTGTTTATTGCATCGAGTGATGTTTGATTGGTTGTTAATTACATTGAGTAAAGTTATTGATTTCTCGTAGTGCTTATGTTTTGAAAAAATAATCTAATAAAATTCATTGGAAGTAAGATTCTATTAGTTATTTAAGTCTACGAAATTGATTTGTAAAATGTGAATGTATATCGAAATGCAAATTGTTATATTTTAAGAAAAAATTGGCTTAAAAAAAAGGTTGTATAAAACATCAGCATTCAAAAGGCTAAAAATCAAGTTGCTGATACAATACAACAATTAAAAAGTCATCAAAACATTTGAAAATGTATGAAAAATATAATTTTAATTATTTTTGTCAATTAGGATGATTCAGTTTAAATTTATTAAAATAATTATATAAGTTCTTCCAATCCAACTATTTTGAAATTTTATAACTTTTAACTAAAATTTCAATGAAAAAAACAAAATGACAATAGATAAAGACCAGACATATTATAAACACTCTCGTATCACTATTTTTATTATTATTAAATTTTGAAAAAGACACTCATTAGAAAGAGAAATTCTCATACGAATATAAAAAGTAACTTATATTTAAATATGTAAGATTACAAAGTCTTTGATAAAAATTAAAATTAAATCTTCATATATTTTACATCGATGATATCGAGATTTGAATTTAAAACCATATGCATGATACTTAATCTCCTATCACTAAATCAATGACAATGGTTAAATGATACTTATTATTTTAAATATAATATGTTATAATTACGTATATTTCTTTAAGTTAAATGAATATTAATAAAAGTAGCCGTAAAAAATTAGAATAAATGTACGAAAACTTGCATATAATTTCAAGTATAATATGATATGATGAAATTATATATATTTCTTTAAATTAAATAAGTGTTAATAAAATTAGTAAGATGATTTTTAATAGTAAAAAATTGAGATATATATACGAAGACTTGCGATCTTCATTATAATTGTTGTAATATTTTTCACTAATAAAAAAAAAAGTATTGGCTGGTAAATGGGTTCGGATCTTCTTCAATAGAAACTTCTATTATTTCTCTTCTTCTCTGTCTCTCTTATTAGTTATTATCCTCCATTGGTCACTCTTATCATTTTTATTCATTCTCTTTATTATTTCTAAAGCAATTATATTGTATCTTCGGTTATTTTTGTATTCCCCTGCTGCATAGGCAGAAGCTAGAAAGGATCCATTTCCGTTGATAGATATTAGGCTTAATTACACTTTTGGTCCTTCTAATTTAGTGTAGGAGCAATTTTGGTCCTCATAATTTGAATTGCTTAACTTTGGTCCATAAATTCAAATAATGGATAATTTTAGTCCCACAAACAATTTACCATTTAAAATTTAACAGACGTTAATAATATAGATTTTATGTTAAATAAACATTAATTATATATTATTTAATTTCTTACGTGTCAAATTATTTAATATTCAAATTTTAAAAATTTTAAATTCATTTATTTTATATTTCTCTTTCTTATACGTGTTAACGTTGCAACCGGAACGACCCGTTCTCCAAGAAGAACGGGCCGTTCTCCAAGAAGAACGGGCCGTTCTGCTTGCACGCGTAATCTGTTAATTTTGAAACTAGAACGTCCTAGTAGAACAGCCCGTTTTGATCCATCATCATGTGTGTATTTTTGCATCCGAAACGGCCCGTTCTAAAAGGAGAATGGGCAATTCTGCAAGTGCTGCAAGGAGAACGGGTCGTTCTGAAAGGAGAACGGGCTGTTCTGGATCCAGTTTTACAACATGCTCAGATCCAAAATGCAAAAAAAAAAAACATTTAACAGCTCATTATTCGATTCCCCGGGAACCGAATTTTGAACGTGAACAGTGAAAGGTGCTTTTTTGGTAAATTTTTTTAAAAAAAATTCTATTCTAGTGAAAAATTCTCACTACGATTGATATCAATACCCTTTTCATTTTGTTTTCAATGTTATTTGAATTCAAAATTTAAATATTAAATAATTTGACACGTAAGAAATTAAATGATATATAATTAATGTCTATTTAGCATAAAATTCACATTATTAACGTCTGTTAAATTTTGGATGGTAAATTATTTGTGGGACTAAAATTGCCCATTATTTAAATTTATGGACCAAAGTTAAGCAATTCAAATTATGAGGACCAAAATTACTCCTACACTAAATTAGGAAGACCAAAAGTGCAATTAAGCCTAGATATTATTTAACACTACTGATAAAAATCAAATTAAAATATAATTCTATTCATTTAATTACATATTTACACTTGTTTGAATTTTATAAAATTGGTTATAGTATAAGTGTATAAATCGTTAGTTGATTGGTTAAAATACACTTTTAGATCATGTAGACAAATCAATTTTTATACCAATATCATTAAAAGAATCCAGGGGATTTGGATAGTCAGGAATCCCTAAACAAGAATTATCGAATAAAATCATATCAGTGATGCATTTGGTGTAAATAAACAGTGTTTGGCATCGAGGGGTTTATAAAACATACTCAAGTATGAAACAGGGCCACTTCAAGTAGTTTATAAAATTAAGTTAAAAGTTATTAAAATAAATTGGTATTAAACAAATTTATATTGATCAAATTTTAATTTATAAACCTTTAATTAACTTATATGCTACTTTTGCTAAAATCACTACCATAAAAGCATTAATATTATTTTAACCATGCCTTAAAATATTAAATGTGATAAAAAAAAATCCCATGTTATATGATACGGATACTACAAACAAGCACCTTCAGAAAATTAGTTAAGAGATTAATAAATATTTTTAAGAAATTACGATAAAATCATATTGAAAAATATGGTGAAAACATATAAATAACATTTTTCCATAATTTTTGTTATTACTTTTCTAGTGTCCTAAAGACAACTTGTTAACATTCTCCTTGCGATCAAACTCAACGAAAATGTTACTGATAAGAGAAACATAATTTTTATGAATCAACTGCAAGTTATAAAATACAGCAGTTTTTAATTAATTTCTATCATACACTTCAGAAATCAGTAGGTACGTTCTGCTATGTTTGAATGGAGGGAAATGTAAAACGAGGTTAGAATATAATGTAAATTAGTGGAGTCTATTTCATTGATTACCTTCATTTTTCTTTCGCTCCAATTTGAGAGTAATCAGATGAAATAGAAATTTTGTTTCATTCAATCATAACACATCCAAACAATAATGAAATGAAGGTTTTATTTTATTTTGTTTTATTCCACTCCATTTTATCTCCACTCTTTCCATCAATCAAAATATAGTTTTTCTTTGATTCGTTTCATTGGCAACTCTGCTTCCAGTATTTTTACATCAACAAAATCGAAAAGATTAATGATTAATGCAACACAACAAATATAAACAGATACAAACAACAAACATTCAGTACTTTTTCTTTTATGACAATGCAGATAAATATATTTATGTTAGTAATAAAAGTTTATATTTAGTCCAGAGTGTTGCTTGAAACAATAAGCTTAGTATGTAACTATTGTCTATAAACATGATTTTACATTTCAGCGGCAAAGGATTTACCACATCCACAAGTCTGACTCGCGTTAGGATTCTTGAATGAGAAGCCTCCTCCAATCAGAGCATCACTGTAATCTAATTGCATGCCAAATATGAAGAGTAGGCTCTTAGGATCACAAACTGCAGAAATAAATGGAGAAGTCAAAATATGTCGTGCTGGTTTAAGACTTAAAACAAAAACAAGCGCGGAAGTTGATACATTGATCATAGAAATATATAATGGACGGTGGACCAAAGGGAAAAAGAAAATATACATATATGAAGAGAGAGGAAGGATTCACTTACTCCAAAAATAAGTCTTAGTAGATTACTCCACTCTATAACTCATATTCTCCATCAAATTTTGACAATTTAACTGTTAAATTAAAAAAATTTAATGAAAGAAAGTATCAAATAGTTTTCAAATTTTTTAAAAAATTTGTAAACTTGTTCTATGTATTAAAAACTCTTAATTTAATGATTGAAATTTAATATAAAACATAAATTATTGAGTGAAGTCTACCAAGACTTATTCTTGGAGAAATTGGATCTCCTGCACACCCTCTCTCTCTCTGTCTATATATATATGCACAAACGCATCATTTTTGCTTTAGCATATGGTGGGAGACAGTTTGCTCATTGTTCTTCCTTTTATTTACCAAATACTGTAAGCTTAATACTGGATGCAATCCAAGTGCAGTCTTAACAGCAAAAAGAACAACTATAAAATAACATTTTTAATTGTTGATCCAATGAAAAATCTCTAGCAATCAAATCTGAAAAAGAAATAAAACAGATCATGTTGAGGGGACCAAGCTTTCAATTCAGTCTCAGATTTAATTTTCTTTCCCATTGAATCAACATAAAGGTAGAAGGGGTTTGGCTTGCATTTCTTGAAAATAAAATTAAAGTGAATCACACTCAGTTGATACATGGAAGCAACAACAATGGGCATAAACTGTAATGAAAGTTGGAAGTAGGACCCAGGATGATTAGTTAATCCCTGTAGGAGAATATGTTATATTCTAAATAAAAACACACTTTTGCCATCGATTAAAGAAATAAATAATGCTTCTTTTAAGTTTCAAACCTTTTGTATTCCATAGAATCCCTCCCTCCCCCAAGTAAAGAATAAGGCATTTACTGCACAGAGATATATTTACATGCTAATAGCCTAAAATCAGTCATGTATATAAACATTGAAGCAAAACCTCCTACCACAAACACATGATTAAGATTATAATGGATGTAGCTAAAGCATGCCAAATATTTTACAACCCCCCACCCAATCACCACACAGAAAAATACGAAATTAATCCTACCTTGTGAATTATAAATTATAATGATAAGAACCAGAATATGAATCATACCAATTTCAAAACCTTCATACTCAATGATGGAGTCATCTGGCCTTGTATTAACCCTGTTTTCAAAATCCATTGTGTATGACATACCAGAGCACCCACCCTGTTTGACACCTATTCTTAAACATAAATCTTCATTTTTTTCAGACCTCATCTTATTCAAGTGCTTCAGTGCATTATCCGTAAGAGAAATTGCAGGGGCTGCAGACCCGGATGCTGGTGCAGCTGAAAGATATTGAGGCGGGGATGAGTGAAAGCAAAGATTAAAGTGCCGACTAGGGTGGAAAAAGTATTTCACATAGCACCCTAGTATATAGCGAAATACAAAGTATGATGTCGCACTCTGGTTAATGATATTAAAACCAAAGTGAATGTCAATAGCAGAAAAGTCCAGCTTTTTCTTGGATTTACTAAGAGCACTAGTCCAAAACACTTGCTAAGAGAGTTCTTTAGGTCAGGAAATTCAAAATGTCTATATCCATCATCTACATCTTTATTGTAAAATTTCTTTACACCATCATCTAATTATGCAATGCCAAATCATTAAAAGATAACAATTACCAAGGAAGGCAAGCTCTTCCATTGATGTCCCAATTCATTGTTACATTAAAGTGCCAAAAATTTATAATAACAGAGTATCAGATTAAAACTCCTATTATTTTCCTCCAATTATGTCATCGTTTGACCCATATAGCTGAACCCACCTAGAGGAAAAACACTGGTTGATGTTAATAGTCAAATTAGTCTTTTAAAAACAATGTTGCTCATAATGAAAAGCACACTTGTGGTCCTAATTATGCATTTAGATGGTCAAACTAGTTTTTAAGGTTCCTGAAACAAGGACTAACATGACTAGAGAAATGTTTATTCAAGAACCTTATGTGTAATTTCCATTATTCAGAGACTAACATGACTAACATCATATCTTTCATTGGCTAATTTGACTATTACATCCTTTCTTTGCAGTATAAAACAACCGATAGAGAAAAAAATAGGTATCAAGGATGCGTTTGGAAGAGCATAATTACAGCTTATTTAAATTTATCTTATAATATAAACTCTAGTGTAAGCATTTGAGAGAGATTATAAGCTAATTTCAACTTACTATTTCAAATAAGTTAGTATCCGGGATAAATTATGAAAACAGCTTACAGAAATTAGGGCTTACAAATCTAGAAAATTATCGGATCTATTATCATACGGAAACTAGAATATTCGAAACAAAATCTTCAAATGGAAGAAGGTGCGTTACTCGTTCCTGTAAACTATAAACAATTTATGATATTCTAGGTGGCGGAATAATTTATCGCGTAAGGCAATAATCTTAATATTGAATTGTGAGGGACGTTGGTAATTAAGAGAGAAATTAACAGGAAATTGAAAAAGAGGAATGAAAAGGATACATAAGGCGTACCGGGAAGTGAAACTGATCGAATAGAGAGTGGCTTAGGGCGTTTGAGATTTGGCAGTGATAATCGAAAGGAGAGTGAAGATTGAGGAGGCGGAGAGACGGGAAGGCGAAGAAATTGAGGAGAGTGCATTGCAGTTGCAGAGAAAGCCATTGGAGTCTGAAGAGAGAGAGAGAGAGAGCACGTGCTTTCCTATTTCTACCTTCAAATCTGAAGCATGGTGTCGTGTGCGAGTTGGATTTGCGAATTTGATATTTCTACGCTATTCATGTTTTTAATGTCAACCGCTAATTTTACAACAAATAAATAAGTGTTGCTTTTTATTTTATTTTATATTTCACCTTTTGAATTTTGTACACCCTCTGCTTCTAAAATTTTGTATAAATAATAAATAAATAACAAATAGCTCATGCCAAAAAAAGAAAAGAAAAGAAAAAATGAAAACAAAGTAAGACTTTGACAATCAATGAGTATCACCTAAGAACAGAAATACTTAGGGGTGTTAATTCAGTAAATTTATTAGTAATATAACTAAGATTTGAATTTTTTACATAAAAAATTGTTTTTTTTTGTTTTTGCAATCGAGATAAGAAAAGAAAAAAACAACTAAAAATAGAACTAGTTTTCCTGAAGAGCGCAACCCTCTTGACATCTGCTACCAAACTATACTAAAGATAATCTGGAGTCTCATATACAACACCTCTAGTTGAGTTGTCCAAGTAGAACCAACCTTAACTAACAAGTCTGCACATTGATTTCCTTCATGAAACACATGTCAAACAGTGCACTCCCAATCTTTAGCCAACAGTTGTTTAATAATGATAATTTCATTTACAAATCGATGATAAGCCCCAACCTCATCTTTTACCACACATTGTGAATCAGAATAACACTCAACCTTCCAATACCCCAAGTTCCAACATAACTGTAACCCTTGCAGCAAAGCCATGACTTCTGCGTATAGGATATCCACCGAAGCCATCTTCCCATAAAAATCAAAGAGAAATTTGTCATACTAGTCACGATCAAGTCCCCCAAATTCAGCCGTTTTTAGATCTCCTTGCATGCTACCATCCACGTTTAGCGCAACAACATCTTGAGAAGGAGGAGTCCACATCACTAAAATGTTACGTGCAGGCTTGGAGGGACAACCACCAAAAGCGCGCTTTGTGTTATACTTAATGAGACTACCATGTGATAGACTTCCAAACAGGACCATTCCTTCTGCTCAAACACAAGCCTATGTCGAGCACACCATGCATTCCACATAATCATGGGAGCTAAACTTCCATTCAAACTAATAAATTCCTTCGGCCATGCAAGCCAAGAAACATCAGACTCAGTCAAAACTTGCAACTGATCGTATTCACATATAGACCAAAAAGTCATCACATGTGGGCACGTAAACAAAATGACATAAAGATTTTTTGGCACTAACGGGCAACGTCAACTTGGCCAACTAACAGATCACACACTCTATTCACAATAACACTTTGCACGGGTAATGGAAGATGAAAGACCTACCATAAGAAAAATTGAATGTTCATTGATAATTGCATATTCTTCCAACTCCACGTCCAACCACTAGTCCCCTCATCATATTCCTTGACATGGAGCCATTTATATGCACTTGTGGTCATATAAACTCCAGTAATAACAGGATGCCAAACCCAAAGGTCTGACACATGTTGCATTAAAATATGATTAACCTCTAAAATGACTTGCACCACTTCACTAGGCATTCTGGTAAAGAGACTATCCAAATTCTAGCCACAATCGTTCCACACATCCTTGACACGGACCGGCGTAAGGGACCATCCTGGCCAGTGACGTATTCAGCACCCACGAAACCCTCCTAAAATGAAGCGATACCATTCCCCAACTTAAACTTGAATGCCTCTTCTAGACTACCCAAGGCTTTCTGAATGGAATTCCACACCGACGAGCCTTGTTGACCTCATCTATCAAACAAACAAGTAGCTTACACCAAATTTGCCCCGATGGACGTAGTAGCTCCCATACTATAGCAGTGTTGTGTTTTGTAGCCTAACTCTTCGGATGCCTAACCCTCCAAGCTTTTTAGGTTGGGTAACCTTATATCAACCTACCATATGGAGCCCCTTACTCGTAGCACCTTTCCAAATGAACGATCTCGTTGTCCTATATCCTCATAATCAAAAATGTAACTTGGTAATCATTGCACTTGCAAGCCATAAGATGGTAATGATATGCGATGACAACATTCACTAGGGTGACCCTCCCAACCTTATTTAGAAGTCGACCCTTCTAAGCAGTCAACTTCCCTTCCACACGATCAATGAGCACATTAAAATCTTGGCGAGTTATCTGACCATTATACATGTGGAAGCCCAAATACTTATCCAATCTCTTAGTGAACCAAATACTAGACAAATTCTGAATCATTTCTTTCTGCCCACAAGAGATCCCTCCTCCGAGGCCAAAATTTGCGACTTATCAAGGCTCACATTTAACCCTGACAGAGAACAAAACGAGGATAGCACACATTGTACACAGAGTGTCTGTCTCCTATTCGCTCGAGCAAACAGAAGCACATACCATCTGCAAAAAATAGATGGGATAATGCAGGACCAGGTTGAAAAATCTAGATCGGTTTCCACGCACCCCCCCTCTACTTCCTATTGCGCCATACTTCCTAGTCTCTATATACAGAACAAACAAATAAGGTGAGAGAGGATCCGCTTCCACCCACCCATCCTTTAGGATTAAAACCATTAAGGTTTCCATCATCCTACTATCAACCTAACCAGTAGCAAATTAAAGTTGTAGTCACAAAATTCCAAATTGTATCTCTTACATTCAGTCCAAAAGATCTTAATAAATATCGGTTGGAATCCATCTGGTCTAGGCGTCTTGTAAGATTTCACGCTCATCAAGGCTTGATAGGCTCCTCCTTACTCGTTGGAGCCACCAACTCCTGTTTCACATTCTCAGGAAGTGCAGAAACATATCGCTCGAGCTCATAATTTCCTCAAATGGAAAAAATATATAGGTCATGAACTTTGTTTTTTTTTTTCGATGAACCACTGTCTGTGTGTGAAAGAATGCAGTTTTCCTACTTCCCAACCCGATCCATGATTCACGTGACTTCTGGAACCAGTATGTTTCTTCTTAAAATAAAATATCTTCATATCCTTTCAGTAAAGACCCTTGGAATTGTATTAATTGTGTCGAATCAATATATTCTCAAGGGCCTGGAGATTCTCGACTGCAACTCCTCTAGGTAATAATAATGCTAGAGAACATTCCACCTCGCGAATGTACATGCGTTTCCAAGAGTACGACTAGCTCGAGTTTATAAATATTAAGCAGCTCTCGCGTATGCGCAAACCTCCTTTTATTAATTTGCTAAATCATGAACATTCCATGCAAGAACAAAATAATTTTTAAAACTAATCATGATATTAGATGAAATGGAAATCCATTCTTATATCCATTTTAATAGGTCTCCCCACCGCTGTCACAAGTGCCAAGAGAATATTTCGTCATAATACTCCATACCCAAGCATGGAAATCTAATCCATACAAGAGTACTCTCTATCTTGACCTCTGATGCAACAAAGTCTGAAACCCACATACGAACTGCAAGGTAATGGTCAAACAACATCCAAGGTTTTCTTCCAAGTACCTTCTCCTGGTCTTGTGGTAACTCAAACTTCACCATATAAAATTCAAACCCAATATATCCACCATCTCAAACCCAGCTGTCAATAGAAGCTTAAAAACTTCCCTGACAACTTAACTATCACTGCATCTTTCTATGGTTGGCACAACTCCTACAACACCTTATCATATCCACGTAACACTTGAATCTTAACCTATCACCCTCCTCCAATTCAATCTAGAAGAGATCCTTGGCTATAAGATTCACTTCCCCATATATATGGTTAACACCATTTTCCCCCATCATCTTATCATGTAAAGAAATCAGCAGGAACACCTCCTCCCGAACCATTAGGGGGTTTAAGTGGTGGCTGAGCCCCCTAATGCATGCGATTATCATCTCCCTCCATCTAAAACCTGTTTAATATACTCATTCACATAAAAATAAAAAATTTGCATAATGTTATATTTTAATTTTTCAATCTAGACATGTTAGAATAAATAAATGAGAACTTAACTTGAATTCAATCTTAAATAAATTAAAAAAAAAACTTAAATTTAATATTAATTATTATTATTATTATTATTATTATTATTATTTTCTTATCGATAAAAAAAACTATTTTACTTTCAATGGAATTAATCACAGTTAAATTGATAACTATATTTTTAATTTTAATCTGCCAATCCTAAGTTGTTGACAGGAAACTAAATAAAGAAAGTTAACGATGTTAAATATGAAAAATGGCGGGAACTTAAAAAATAATCATCATATATTATATAATTGATAAGAAAATAGATGTTTTATAATCAAAAATCATACTTTACCTATATATAATTTATAAAATTTCATTCAATCTATATTTAATTCACTCTTGTAAATTTAAATTATTATTCTTAAAATGAATAATGTATTTCTTTTAACCTTTATACATGGTCTGTCCTTTTCATTTATGTATATACCCTGGGCTTCTATAAATATTTTCCCCCTTTTCGGGTGCAAATATTTTTCCCCTTTAATGAGTTATTCAAGTAAACAATTTTTTTAATTAACCACACCTAGTGATAAAAGATCGAGATAAATATTTAAAGATTTAAATTTAATTATTTATCTCTGTGAATAATCAATTTTATCCGGACTCACAAAAGTGATGTTGTGAGGTAAATAAATAGGAGGAATTAAAGAAAGAGGCATTCAGTTTGAGTCATTTGTAGATTGAGCTTGTGCTCTTTGTGAAAAGAGAAATCCTTTGCGAAGGGGAAACCCTCGCTGGAGAGATCTCTCCCCCTTGTTTTGTTGGTTCATTCAATTCAATAAAAAATTTCTTTTCTTTTCTGTTCTGGGTTTGTAACAACACCAGTGTTGATTTCATTGCCACCACTGTTGGAGAAAGCATGTACTCTCCATTTTGTAGACTATTGGATCTGCAAATAAAAAGTGAACCAGAAGAAAGTAAGGATTTTTAATTAAGCATATTTATATGGATGTTATTTGAGCAAATTTCAATGTTAAAATTGTTTACATCATTATACATTCCAATGACCACTAGAGTGTGGTATTCCAGCTTTAACAGTGTGAGGAAACATGGGTGTGTTCTGACTTCTG